TAATATACTTTCTTCTAAGCAAAACATGAGCGTCTTTCTTAGAAAAAAAAATTACAGAACTGAAAACGGTTCGTCAACCCCAATCTTTCACCACAACAATTAGGTGTCTTTTGGTTTTCAGTTTCTTAAACTTAGTTTTGAAATAAAGTATAATAAATAACTGGGATTAGATAACAACATATTTATGAGTGCTTTTTATGATATTTATTAAAATAATAAATTACGTGTATTTTTATGAAAACAATTTTATTGAATTTATTTTCTACTTGTTACAAATGATTTAAAACATTAAACTCATGATACGACTATGTTTGTCGGCTTCTTACTTGACACGTGGGGTTCAAAGGTGCTAAGAGTAACGATGGGAAAAATCCAAACATTTCCGAAGATTTTTTAGCTGAAGCCGTACATAAACAGAGCTGGATGCTAAGATCACAGTACACGTTGCCTATGTGCATGTGAGTTCGGGAGACAATTATTATTAGAAAAAGATATTAATCTTCAAAATTGATTTTCAAAAAAAATGTTTTCATAAATATTTATTATATTAAAATTATAGTTATAATATAAGAAATCATTTTAGAAACTGATGTTAATAAAATTATTATTATTATTATTAAATATTTTTGAAATAAAGGAAATAAAGTATAAAATATTATAAAGTTTTCTATGTTATTATTATTATTATTATTAGAAGTGAAATACATAATTTTATTATTTTATAGTTTAATAAAATTTATAAAAAAAAATAGAATAATGATGTTCATTAGGGTTGTTCATGGATTAAATTTTTAAAAAATTAATTTAAATCTATTTAAAATTTAATTATATGAATTGGATTATAAATCAATTTATTTTAATTTTTTAAAAATTAGTTTAAATTTAATTTTAAAATTTGGATTCGTTTTAAAATTGATTTTAAACTATTTTTACAGTAAAAATATATTATAATTATTTTTTAATTATTATTAAATTATTATATTAAAATATTTAAATTTTATAATAAATAATATAACATTATATATATATATATATATATATATATATTTTAAGCATCAATATTTGTTAAAAATAAAATATGAATATAAAAAATACTCTAACCCATTACATTAACAATATATATCAAGAAAATATTTACATATATTTTAATTTATTAATAATATTTTTTATTTTTATTTTTTATTAAAATAATAAATATTTTAGATACATTCTACTTTTTATCATCTATCAATTACAAAAATTAATTATATGAGTTCAACTTTAAATTATTTTTTTATTTTTTTAATCGGTTCAAAAATAGTTTTAAATTTTAAATTTAGTTTGAAATCAATTTTAAATTTAGTTTTTGTTGAAATTAGTTTTATGTTAAATTAGTTTTAAATTTAATTTTTAACGCAAAATTGATTTTCAATATATTTGTGAATTTTATTTTTAAGTTAAAACTAATTTATTGTACAAAATGTTGCATTAAATTAGTGTATTTCAAAAAAAATTTAACAATATTTATTAATATATTATATTTTATAGAAGTATATAAAATATTTATTATTTTTTTTAACTTATTTTTAATAAATAGAGTTTATAGTAAAAATTTAAATTAAAACCTATAAAAATAAAAATTAATAATATAAATAATAATAAAATTTTATGTTATAATATTTTAAAAATTAAAAAATAAATATAAATATAAAAATAATAGTAGTAATTAATTTTAAAGTATTTTTTATATTTTAATATCTTTAATTATTTTAAAATTTTAATTTTAATTATAAGAATTAAGATTAATAAAAAAAATAGTAGTGGTAAAATGTGGTTATAATAAAATTTGGTAAACTAATATAATATCAAAATTTAATATATAAAGATATAAAGTTGCTTCATTTGGATAACTAAAAAATATATAATTTTAAAAAATAGATTTAGATACTAAACTAGTTACAAAAGTATAATTAATAAAAAAATTAATTTAATATGAATCTAGATTTTTAAAATGAATTTTATATTAGTTATAGACTGAATTTTTTGAACATCCCTAATGTTCATAAGCTTCATTTTTAAATATAAAAAGTGAAAAAAAAAATAAAGAAAAAGAAAATATGATGTATAATGTGACAAAAAATAAACAATGTATAAATAACATTATTAATGGTGCAAACCGTTCATAGCTTAAAGATATAGTTAGCTTCACTAAAAAGACATAAAATTGTTTGTAACAATACCACATATAAGCCTATCGATGATCTATGATTAAAAAAAAAAATCTATGTATTTAGTTTTAGCGTGAAACTTGAACTCGAAATCATACCTTAAATTACAACCATATGTAAATTAATTTAAGTAGTATTTATCATAAAAAAATTTAAATTTAAACCCAAATTTAATTTGATAAGTCATCGTTTGTTGTCTATTAAAAAAAACCCGCAGATTCAATTTAGTACTACTATTTTACTGCTGTTGTCACGTCACCATAGCCTTAAATTCCAAGCGTTGAAGGCTGAGAGTTGGTGTTATTTTCTTTATTTTTGAAGGCAATGTTGGCATTGATCTAAAGTATAATTGAATGAGAAGAAGATACAAATGGAGACATTTTTCATGACGGATAAAACGTCCATTTTGGTGGAGGTTATGACAACCTTTCGTGCAACTAAACACCAAGGTTTCTTCATTTTTCTTGTGCTTCTTTATGTTCTTTTGTTAGGTCCTAATCTTTATTTATTTTCAAAATACATCTTTCACATTTATTTATATGTTGCTTTAAGTTATATATTATAATGTTGAAAGGTCAAATTAATTGTTTATCTTTAATTTTATATATTAAATTTATATTCCACTTATTGTTATAAACAATGTCAAGTTCTTATTAACTATACAAACAACTACTTTTTTGTATTGATTTATTTCAAATACCAAAAACTAATCAATATAGAAAACTTATATGCTTAAAAGGTTGATGCAATATGGAAATAATAGTAGATATAATTTAAACTAGAAGTCACACGTGACAATTTGCATGTCTAAAATGTTCACGCATGACAATTTGTATTAATTTAAGCCTTAATTTTTTAGTTATTAAGGCTTGTGTATTTTTAAATTGTATAAAAGTAAGTTTAATAAAACATATATTTGATTTTCAACACGCGTAAGGTTTGAAAAACTATCATCGTATTAAGCATTTAAATTAAGTATATATGTCCTAGATCACTCTTAATTTTCAGCTTTATTAATAATAATATGAAACTTTGTTCATGAGTCAATATAGCGTGAACGTGAAACACGCCTTGCATGTGCTACGTTACGTTGCATAAGAATGTGTGTTGAGTAGAAAATAATGATCCTATTGCATGCTGTTCCTCGCTTTAATGCCATAAGTTACAACAAATTAAAGTATAAATATTGAATTCAAAGGTTGAGAGAATCAAATAACAAATTATTTTAAACAACTATAAGCTGTAAAAGAAACAAATGTAATCAAATGATTGAAGTGTTCTACTCGATCGTTCGCAAATTCTTTCTTTTATGAGAAAAATATGTCTATTTATCGTTACTGATTTTGTAATTTCTGCCATATATGATGCTTGTTTGGTTATTGTTTCATGACATGATCTCAACATTGCGTTTGTTTTAATGTTATACACTTTTATTGGAAGAAAAAGACATGTTTAAATGGTATATTTTCATTTCACAATATTTCCTTTTCAATGTGAAGTCGAACTTTACACAGAATCGTATCATATATTTTACTCTTTGAATAATGGCCGTTCGGAAAATTAATCAGCTAAAAATTTTAGTATATGTAGAAATAGAATGAAATTAAAATCCCAAGTCAATTTTGAAACAATTGAAAGCACAAAAATGTTTTTACCTTTGATAACTGGTCTCTGAACAGTATATAAACACAGTTAAATGCGTTTAGATGGATTAATGAGAACAATTTTTTCTTGTATTAATCTCGATTTACGTATTTGTGAAATTCAGCAGAGATCATTATCATTGAAAACGAATCACTTTATTGTGTGTGTTGTTATATTCAGCTGATGAAGTCATTGTGAGTACAGCGAAATGAGTATTATTTGTCATGCCAATTCTGCAGATGCATGCTGGCTGGTTAGGTGTGGGATCATAAAGGCAACAAAAACACATATAACCGATGAATTAATTAACTGATATATAATAAAACAACTTTCTGCAGATGAAAATAATATGCTGTGCTTCAAATTTAATTTACTTTAGTCATCGATTTTATCAAATCCGCAGTTCATTTTGATGGAATTTATTAGTTATGTTCGATGCATGAATCTCTCTATTTTTTATTTTTTCTTTTGGAAAAGGATCAATGAATCTCTTGGGATATTATATGTAATCAAAGTCTCATCCGTATATGACTTGATTATAAAATAAATTTTTTTGTTACAGATTATTAAAAAATATATTAAAATGTATAAAAAGTATACATTAACAATAGTTTTGATAAAATAAAATATTTTTATTCACGAGAATATTGGTTAACATTTGATTAGAATAATTTTTTTAGTTTAAAAAAATATAAGATAATCTCATTTAAATTTATAATATTTATAGTTTTGATATCATATGGGTAAGATTTTTTTAAAATTAATTTTAATTAATATTTATTTTTAGAAAATTTATTTTATATTTAAAAAACAGATAAATATCGTCTGAAAATTTTAAAATTTTAAAATAAAATATTTAATTCACTCAATATCGATAACTAATTTATGGATTTTATTTTACATGTAGGCACTACTACATATATAATTTTCTTTATTGATTAGAATATCTGAAAATCTGACACGTGTCGGGTACATTCCCTGTGGCATGTAACTTAGAGAGGGGACAGACATGTAATTGCGAGAACAGTATCGTCCTTGTCACTTGTCTTTGGGAAAAGTGAAAATACGGAAATACCCTCAATGCATTTGCAAAACAACATATACGCCATGTGGGTATAAGAATCACATATCCGTATCTCAGAAGCGAATGCGAAGAACAATAGAACCGCCCTTTCAATCTCTCTGAATCCTCAAAAAGCTTCCAAAATTTTCACTCCTTCTCCCTCTCTCGCTCTATACTTCTTCTGGGTATTCGTTTTTTCGCTTCTTCGTGGAAGTTTGGTATCGAAAGAACAAAGATGAGTGAGTCTTGGTTACTGGGTTGGAGCTATGTCGCTTCATGATTGTGGGTGGTGACAGTTTGGTGAGGTTGGTGTTGGGATTTGAGAAGGGGTGCATGTGGGGTTTCGTTTTTATCCTATGTTTCTTCAAGGATTTGGAGAAGAGAGTAAACTCGGATTTTGGGCTTGTGATCCGAAGCAGGGGTAGGTGGGGCAAATGTGGCTGAATTTTTATGCCAAAATTCAAACTTGCCTTTATATTTGTTGTGCCTCATCATAGTGAGTGTTGCCTGAGAATGCAGCAAGATCACAAAAAAAAGGTGGATTTTTTTGTTTACCTTATTTTCAAGCATTATTGTAATTGTAATTGCTTCTAAAAAATGTTTCTTTTTTCAAGTTCCAAGGTGCCCTTTTTGTGACAAAGCTAAATTTAGCTGAATGATGAAAACAAAATGTTGTTTTGTGTCGTGTTGGTGGTTACTTTTGAGAATTTTCAATCTCCTATAGTCAAAGCGTCCTGCTAAGTTGGTTCCATCGGACCGTGTTATGATGTTAGTTTTCTCCTGATATTTAGTTCATCACGTGATGAAATTTCTTTCCCCCACGATTCTATTACTTTAAGGAGGATAATGTCATGGTGGACAAGATCTTCTTTTTCATCATTTTTTTTGGGGTGTGATGTTGGATACCATGTGCTAATGAAATTTGCATATGCTTCCTCTTTTAACTGGTTAGATGGAATTCCCGGGGTTGATCTTCCATCCCAATCAATGCACCCTTTTGCTTTTCTTTCTTTCTACGTATTCTGAGATGTGTTTTGCACGCTTTAGGTGCGTTATACGTGATTGACTCTCCAAAATAAACGGTGGTGAATGAGAAGAAATGGTGAATTGGGTAAGAGAAAAGGTTTTGGTCTTAAAAGTGAAGATTGGTTTGCCCTAAGAATTGTGATATGTTGTTAATGGTTTCAAATGCTAAATTTTCTCCTTTTATTAAGCTAAGGATGGGGAGTGAATCGTTGCGGGGTGACAATGTGTTTCTTTATGTTTATTATTTTATTATTTTTCTTGTGTTAGTCCAATCTTTGCATACATGATCAGATTACTGCAAATATGATTTCTACCATCTTTCTTGGAGTCTATGATGCTTTAATGTTGGGATAATTTCATTTATGTAAATTCTATGGAATGGAACACACAAGGTTTGTGTTATGTCTATGAAGCTTATGGATGAGTTCTGATGTATAAATTAATTTCCCTTGTAAAATAGTAAAAAAAGTTTCTTTATTATTTTAATTTCATTTTATCCATTGTGAAAATGTGTTTCCCGTTCGTTGTTTTAGCTTGATATACTAATATTCTCAGACATCAAATTTGGGCTTGCCTAATTTTGCCTAGAGGATTAACTTTGATATATTTGCTACAGAGTTCAACGGAGATGGAATTTTTCTCCGAATATGGCGATGCCAACAGGTACAAAATTCAAGAAGTCGTTGGGAAAGGAAGCTATGGTGTTGTTTGTTCAGCTATTGACACTCATACTGGTGAAAAAGTAGCGATAAAGAAGATTCATGATATATTCGAGCACATATCTGATGCTGCACGTATTCTCCGTGAGATAAAGTTGCTTAGACTTCTTCGACATCCTGATATTGTTGAAATTAAGCACGTTATACTTCCTCCTTCTAGGAGGGACTTTAAAGATATATATGTTGTTTTTGAGCTCATGGAGTCTGATCTGCATCAAGTCATTAAAGCCAATGATGACTTAACAAAAGAGCACCATCAGTTTTTTCTTTACCAGTTACTTCGAGCATTGAAGTATATTCACACTGGTATTCTTTAATATCCAATAATTACTTGTTTGTGAATATATTATTTGAACGCACACTTTGTTGTTAATGATCATGTGTTCATCGCTTTCTTGAAATGTAATTGAAATTGCATCATTCCTCAGCATTTCTCTTTATGAAGATGTCAGAATCCTTTTTCTCTAACTTTTGCTGTTGTAGACTTATTTCGCACTTATTGCTGGATCTCCTTAAACTTGCATGGTACTTTTGCGGTTTTCCCAAAATGTTTCACTCCTTCATTTGTCCTTTTTACATTTTATTTTGTCTAGTTATCAACATAAGTTTACTGGCATTCATGTCAATATTTCTCATCTAATACTTATGAACACATTGCAGCAAATGTCTATCATCGAGACTTGAAGCCAAAGAATATACTGGCCAATGCAAACTGTAAACTTAAAATCTGCGATTTCGGGTTAGCTAGAGTTGCTTTCAGTGACACACCAACAACAGTATTTTGGACGGTATTCCATTTCAACATTATCTCTCTCTGTTTCCTAATCTTTTCCCTGCAAGATTTCCATACCCCTCCCCCCCTTCTCTCCCAAAATCTAAAGTATCAGTTACATTGAGGCTGATGTTTTGTTGCTTACCTAATACTATAGGATTATGTTGCTACAAGGTGGTATAGAGCACCAGAGCTCTGTGGATCATTTTATTCAAGGGTATGGCTTTTTCAAGATTCTTTCTGATATCATATGAGTGGGAGAGAGCCTAATTATGCATAGTCTTGTCTCACCATATCCTAATTCATGCTCGTTAGTTTTGTGTGTAGAAATTGCATATCAACCCATGATACATGCTTTCTGTTATCTTCTTTCCCATCAATAGCTAAATGTAAGACCCAAGACCATCTGTTATTTATTATTAATTATTATTAGTCCACTGTTTTTCTGTATCTGTTAAGTGTTATATATGCTGATGAGTTAACACTGAGGTTATTTGGCTGCAGTATACTCCAGCAATTGATATGTGGAGTATAGGTTGTATCTTTGCTGAAGTCTTAATAGGAAAGCCACTTTTTCCTGGAAAAAACGTTGTCCATCAGTTGGATCTGATGACAGATCTGCTTGGGACTCCCTCACTGGATACTATATCCCTGGTAATTTCCTTTGCCTCTATAGAGGAAAAAAATGTTTGTATTGCTTAGCTTAATTTCACTAACATCTTGGTTTTGCTGGTCACAATCTTGTATCCTTGTGTTGGATGTAGGTACGCAACGATAAGGCTAGGAGATACCTGACTAGTATGAGGAAAAAGCAACCTGTACCATTTGCACAAAAGTTTCCTACTGCAGATCCTTTAGCATTACAATTACTGGAAAGATTACTTGCCTTTGATCCGAAAGACCGGCCTACTGCTGAAGAGGTTTGTTATATTGTGCTCTATTGCTTGTGTGTAATGTGTATGGCATGCACTGAAAAATTATTTTAGTCAGATAATTAACTGCTTTCTGAGCTTATGCTTTTGCTTTGGACAATAGAAGGTATAATCAATCACAGAGAAAATATATTGATATGTAACTTCCTTGCTCTAGAATTTTGAAGGATTTGGTTTTTTTTAGGCATTAGCTGATCCTTACTTCAAGGGACTTGCAAAAGTTGAGAGGGAACCATCCTGCCAGCCTATTACAAAAATGGAGTTTGAATTCGAAAGGCGAAGAGTAACGAAGGAAGAAATTCGAGAGTTAATTTTTCGTGAAATTCTAGAATACCATCCTCAACTGTTGAAAGACTACGTAAATGGAACAGAGAGAACTAATTTTCTTTATCCAAGGTTTTTTAGTTTTTGTTTATTTATCAACTTTTTGTCCTTTTTACCTTAAAACCTTTTATTCGTATGTTATACCCTGCTGTTCTCTCCTTACACTTCATTTGTGTATATGTTACAGTGCTATTGAACAATTCAAGAAGCAGTTTGCTCATGTTGAGGAAACTGGTGGTAAAAGTTGTCCAGTTATACCACTTGAAAGAAAACATGTATCACTTCCCAGGTAATTCATTAATGTGTGTGACTAGTGTCTCATTGGATTTCACTTGTCATTTCTTGTGATCATAGGTTGTTGACAAAGGTTACTTTGATTGTATTATATTTAAGATAGGATTGACTATTCTATGATGAATGTTAAATACACTTGTTTTATGAGATGCATAAAATTATGCATGTGCCAAAAGAAACTGATATGGTCAGCTGCTTTGAGGTGATGCCAGTTAGTTCTAATTTAATCCATCATTGTTACATAGCATAATACAGTGTCAAAGTGGTGTTTATTCCTTGTAGTCAATGCTGTTAATGTGCATAGATGCTACTAGGCATTTTTCTAAGATTAAATTACATCAAGTGTCAACTATAGTGTGGATGAGTAGCGACGTGCATGAGATGCATATTCCCTTAACTTCAGTCATGTGATTTATATTCAGTTAATTAGTTTCGGTGTATCCCATTTCTTAAGTTATTTTTCCAACCATACTTTTTGGCTGCTCTTTCACTGTCTTAGCACACGGCATGGGATGAAATTGACCAAAACAATCCTTACTTTTTCCTGGCCGTATTGTTCCCCTTTGCTGTTACAGCTGTTTCATTCTTAAGGACCATAATTGGATTATATCATATTGAACTTTGCATTTTTCGTTGGTACATATTATTGACAGGTCAACAATTGTACATTCAAATATGGTACCCTCTAAAGAACAATCAAATATTGCTTCCTGCAAAAACCAGCAAACAGCCGAGGAGCATAATAATAATTCCGGAGATACAGAATATCCTGTGCCAAGGTCCATTCAGGGACTGCAAAAAATTCCACTTGGTATGTGATTACCATCATCATTGTCAGTCAAGTTTATATACATTATCAGTGTCATCAGTGCACTAACATTTTTCTTTTCAGCAAAACCTGTTAAAGTTGGTGGGCCAGTTCTTCCATACGACTATGCAAGTGTTGTCAAGGAATCATATGATCCCAGGACATTTATGAGAGGTTCTGTTCAAAGATCTAGCTCTGGAATACAAGAAAGGTCAGCAACAGAAGCTGACAAGGGTGTGTCTTTACAATCAAAACTTGCCCAGCAATCTGGTGTGAATGCCAAAATAGCACCAGATGTAGCTATAAATATTGATACCAACCCTTTTTTTATGACACGAGCAGGAGTGAACAAGATAGAGCAGGATGATCGAATATCCATTGACACAAAGTTGCTGCAATCAAAGGCTCAATATGGTGGAATTAATGTTGCTGCTGGTGCCACTGCTCGTAGAAAGGTTGGACCTGTTCAGTATGGTATGACAAGGTTGTTCTAAAAGAATGTTGTCTTGTGAATAGTTTTGCCAGGTGGAACACTCCCTGTGGAGTGTGGAGGGAAAAAGTTTCTTTATAGTGGAGAAGCTGTAGTCTTTATTGGTTCTTTGTGTAAAAATGAGATAGGTTAATGACTTTAGTGCTTCCTCAGAAAAAGCCAGCTTTCTCTGGTCAAACGCTGTTAACTTTGGTTACAGTTATCAATAAAACTGTACAAGTGAAATCTAGTCCTATGTTGTAATTCAATCCACGCCATTCTTTCTTTCTCCATTATCTCTCTCGCTTTGACGTTAAGATGGTTCATCACTTCTAGCCGCATACTAGTGTGCAAACTTAGGAAACAGTTGACAAAAACTATAAAGTTAATCATGGCTACTTTTAATCAATAAAATCTTAAACTGTCAACTTTTATTGTCTTATAATCTTAGCTTATAAAGTCTAGCTATCTCCTCCAATTGGTTTCATATAATCTATTAATAGTTTGTTCCTTTTGAAAATAAATACTTACTATCCCGGCTAAATAAAATCCTTGTTATTAGAAATAAAACTAAAGTCGGGTTTGTAGGCTGTTAGTAAGATTTTATAAAATCTCCTCTAAATAGCGATAAATAAATCAGATTGATACATATACTAGGAAATGTGAAGTGTGTTTTATGCATGTTATCCACCAAGGATAAAGGAGTTTCATTGTTTAACTTTAACTATTGTGGTTTTCTTTTAATCATTCATTCATTCATTTTTTTTTCTTTAAAAATAGGTGTGAAAATTATTAACATTATTGCAACAGACTCCTCACAAGTTTCTTTAACACCTGGATTCCATTTGAAATTTGATCAACGGCTCAAATTCTCCAAATTTTTCCTCACCTAGGCACAGTAACAATTTATCCTTGAAAGTAGGTTTGTTGTTTACAACATAATTTCTTTCTATTTTTCTTTTTAAAGAAGGAAATAGGCACTTCATTATTTTATTGGAATCAGCCCTCAAAACAAATAGTTTGAGCATTTGATAAGATACCGCATCACTTTATTTCATAGGATTTTGAAAATATGAACAAACATGTGCCCACCCTCACCCTCATTGACCTTCCCTGTGGAGGAAGTTACTGCAGCTACCTTTTGGAAGCTCCAGCTATAGCTATACAGGATAAGATTAACTTTATGTAGACTCTTCCTTTTTTTTTTTTTTTCTTACTTCTTACTTTACAAGAGTTAAATTGGTCACAGTGAAAAAGTTTGATACGAAGACCCTTGTTACTTACCTATCAATAACCTGGAGGATCACTCTTGCCACAATAATGTTGCATCCCGCATAATATAACTGAAGATAAGAAAAAGGGCCACTTGCATATCTCTAAAATGTATTGTTTGTTAACTTGCATTAATCATTAATGTAAGACATACATTAAAAATATCAACAAAAATGTTTTGAAGAATAAAGACAAATGCTGACTAGTACTTTTAAGATACTGATTAAAAAATAAAAAACATAATAATTAATATACTTTTACTATTTTTCTAATACATCTTCAACGTCATTGTTAGCAAGACTATTTTTTTTTTTATTAAATTAAAGTGAAAAAGCTGAAATTGAAACAGGGAATTGAGATAATGCATTTGAATCTGGTCGTTTGTTGATTGTTTGGCATTTACTGCATATGCAAGCACCATAGCTGCAAACTGCAGACAACGCGGGGCTCACCAATTAAAGTCTGAGTCAGTTCATGTGCTGATCATTAAGTTAAACAGGTTGAGAAATCCTCATTCTTCCCTTTCTACAACATCAAGTGTAAATATTCCTCACCAGTTTCATGCATTTTCTTTTCTTTTCTTTTTTATTTTAAATGTAATTGCTGATACTGTTGCAGTAAGTTTTGTTCTAGTGTTCTCTTGTTTCATTTATCTACATGCCCTTAAAACGGATAATAAACCAAGACAACAGACAAACCTTTCTTTTCTTGTTTGAACTTTTTGTAGCGTCATGCATAGTTCATTTATATCCACATAATTTTCTTTAGTTAAAGATGATTAATTCAATGTCTGGCTTTCATCATTTACAATATGGTTAAACTAGTTAGTTAAATGCTACTATTCACACTTGAACATGTTAAACATTTATTATATCTTTTTCATTTATATCTCACAAAAAATAGATAAACAGAAACATGTCATTATGTAGCCCTAGAGGCCTACCATGTGAAACTTTGATTTGCTTGCACCATAATATGATTTTGGACATCTTTTTATGTCCAAACATAAGCAAGGATCAATGCATAACCAAGAACCAAGGTTTGCTCTAAAATGTGAACAGAAACAAAACTCAGGTAGGATGTCCACACATTTGCAGTTAGATTAGATGTGTGATATATTGAATCATAAGGCTCTCTCATCAATTATATATGCCAAGGCCCTAGGCAACCATTTGATGCAATTTCGTACAAAAAAATGGTGGTACGGACCCCCATTACCCCTAGAACAAAGAAAATGAGAAAATAAAATAAAATTATTAAGGATTGAAAATATTGAGTGGCATTAAATAAAAAGAGGGGTGTAGTGTGTGAATGTGACAAGAACAGAGGGATCCGAGTGGGTCTGAGCACATGGAGTCCCATATGCCCAACACAACCAAATCCTCATACAATCCCAATGACCCAATACGCCGATTGGTTTCCTTCTTGGAAACACCACCACCTCCCCTCTCTGATTCTCCACCACACTCTCTCAGGGCCACCATCACTAAGTAGGGGGGAGAGGTCACACTAAAGCTGCACTATCAAATTAACAAACATCAATCATCTTTTCAGTATCTTATTTTTCCATCTTATATATATATATATGTCCCTCCATATCATAAACAAAACATCAAACTCATTCAAATGTTCTGAATAATACTTCAAATACACCACTTTCACTAAATATATGAAAATCTTTTAATGTCCTTATAAATTGGGTGTAAATGTCAATGCTTGTGACTGTTATACAATGGAAAGTAACTTTCTGTATGTGAAAATAAAATATAAGTTTCTATGTTATCAATATAATAATCTACACAACTTTTTGTTCTCTTTTTATGTTTTCTTTTATCTTTTACTCACTGTCATTGTTTTTTTAGTACACCAACGTAATGACTCAATTTTAATTTTTGCGTGTTCTGTCAAGTTTATCATCTGTGCTACATTTTTTTTTAATGAAAAACTGTCAGTTGATACCGTTCATTTATTATTATTGATTTTTTTACAGGCATTTATTATTATGGATACGGTATAATCAATCATCTAGTAAATTACATATACTGTAGTCATGTTTCTTTCTGTTTTCTCTTTAATTAATTGAGTGACATGGTAGTATTTCACAAGAAAAAGCCAAATTTAATGCGAACTGAGCTTCTTTATCCATAAAACCAACTTGTCCTAAATTAGTTAAGCAAAGGGTATTTGATTTCCTTAAATTCCCAAGTTGTTAATTTGATATGGGTTGGGATTGATATGATTCTAGCATTTTACATGATTAATTTGGGCTAAAAGGGTTAGAGAGGGGGGGGGGGGGGGGGTTGTGGGGCTCAAGGTGGGGTCACTGGAAAGCAAACACGTGGCAGTCATGCGAAGGATGGTGATGCAGATCATGTAGCATATGAAAGAGAAGAGAGTGGAGAGGCACATGGGTGGGTGTTAGGTTCAAGGAATTCATGTGAGCACATGTGCTTTCTCCCCTTTGTTTTGTGTCCTGTGGGACCATTTTTATGCCCTCTCCACAGCTCACAACTCACTCTTCACTCCTTAACGGGGTTCCATTGCATTTTCAGTCAGATTTCTATACTTTATACTTTCACTTTTACCTCACCATTCTCTATCTCTCTCTAACCACAATCTTCATTTGAATCTTACTAGCTAAGAATTCTTACTCCCTATAGCCATTAGATATTAATTTATAGAGTATTAGCCAGAAGCATGTGTTTAACATGTGTATCAATCACCATAAATATCTCATTTCTGCTAAGATACCTCTTGCCCGTGATCGTGTGACTCTCTCTCATATCTATCAAAATGTTAGATGCTTCGTTTCTTCAAAAGACTCGTAGTTAAATAAGTAGTAGTTAAAGTAATGGAATATTTTTATAATTAGTGATAAAAATATATCATTCAAAGCAAAATTTAAAAACAAACATCATGCTAAAATGTGACATAATTATGTATATTCGTTATTCATTGTAGAAAGAATATAATAACATTACACTTGATTATGCATATACACAACAGTCTAAAAAAATTATTTTTAAGTATCTTATGTCTTGGAACATTGAAACAAAACCTTAATTGTTAAAAAATGTTAAAGAAACACTTTTGAACATATTTTTTTATTATTGATTAAAATGGATAAATTCTAAATTTTATTCAATGGGTCTCGTATATAATTACATGACTTTTAATAAGCTTTGAATTATTAATAAAAAAGTATACTAAAGAATATCCTTCTCTCTAGTTGTTGTATTCTATTTGTGCTTGGATTACATTGGAAAAAGGAAAATATAGAAAGCAAGGAGAAGATGAGGGTAAAAAAATGGTGAGGTGGAAGAGGGTGTTGATATGGAGCGTGAAGGGCACCCCGTTGCTCCAATCCAAAACTTGGGGGGTTCTTTCTTGTATTGTGAGGCCAAAAGAAGTGGGACCAGCTTCGTTGGCATTGACATTTCTAGAGCTCAACAATAATTTAACATCTTCCTCATTCCTCCCTCTCTCGATACTCATTCATACATATAAGTCTCTCTCTCTCTCTCACACACACACTCTCCCTCTTTCTCTCACCATTACACACATCATCCATGGATGAACAAAGCACACAACAAACACACACAATCATACCCACATTTCTCAGAAAATCCGACCAAAGCTCTTCCATCACCCCTCACAAGTCTTTGCATGTTTTTAGGAGAAGCCGAAGGCGGTGTAGAGAGGGTCCAAATATGCAACACGCTGTGAATGATTGTGTTGAGAAAAAGGAAGAAGAGGAAGAGGAAGAGGAAGATGATGATAAGGAAGAGATAGAGAAGAAGATTCATGCATTGCAAAGGATTGTGCCTGGTGGAGAGTCATTTGGTGTGGACAAGCTTTTTGATGAAACTGCTGGCTATATAGTGTCCTTGCAGTACCAAGTCAAAGCCTTGAGGGCTCTCACTGGCTTCTTTGAGAAGTTGGAGAAGGAGAAGACAAAGTTTGGAGGTTGATGATGATGTTCATCATGATGGGTAGATGAACATGAAGGGGATGAATGAATCCATGATGGAACCTTAGGTTATTAGGTTCTTTTGGTTTTTACCACAGACCCATTAGTTAGATTTTTTTCCCTTCTCTTTTTATTCCTGTTGATTTTATTTTATTTTTTTCACCTTTTTTTTATGCTGTACTTTTGGTTGGGATGAAGGAAAATATTTCCCATGTTCTTAGATTTTTTATTTTTTGAAGTTCTTACTATGTTTTATGACTTTATCTATATAAATCTTGATAGATTATAATGATATTGTTGCGCTGCAGAAAGAGGTTTTTGGGTTAGTGTTACACAAGTAGTTATTAGTTTTGGGCAACTGTTGTGAGAATCTTAACCTGTTTCATGGTCTCTGGACTGAAGAAATGGTAGAATGGATTAGAGTGCATGGCATTATGGTGTGCCCTCCATTGGTGATTTTAATTATATACGTGGGCTGTGGCAGAGTTTTTTCATCTTGGTCCAGTGGGCCATCCTATTGGGTCTTAAAATCTGGATGAGATCGAACGTTTTGTAAAGTCATTCACATGGCACATACACATGTGGTCATTGGTCACTTTCTCTTTATTTTGTTTGTGAAAACCTTGCTTTGGAGGATTTTGGAATAGGGTTGTTTGACTTTTTTGGCAGTTAGCCATTACTACCACAATAACTTAGACTTAGAATGCGGTATACAGAAAAAGAGACCATTCCACTTGAAGGGTTATAAAGTTCACATGGCTTCTTTGTCATCCGAGGATGATCTTCCATAATTTAAGCTAAAAAAGCACACATTGGAGAGAGAGAGAGAGAGAGAGTGTTAGCAAAATGATTCTACAAACATTTGTTGGAGATGGATCACTCTTAACTATCGTACTTTTGTGTGTTTTTCAAAGATGGAATATAGCTCACAAATATCAGCAAGGGTCAGTAACATTAAAAAAATTATTAACCTCTAGTACAAGACTGAGTCCAAGTATTTAATAATAATATTTTATTAAAAAATATTCATTATATTTTTATAATTTTAATATAATAAATATAAATCAGTCCATAGTGCATTATAATAAATAAAATAAAGAAATTGGAGTAAAAAATAAAAATCAGAAATGATATAAAACGAAGTCTGCTCTGAGCAATGTATCTAGCACAGGGCACAGGCAGTTTCACTAGAGTGTTTGGGAGTGAGAGATCCAACACAGGCACACACACTCTGGCTAGTGGCTGGCAATCCAATTTCAGCACAATTTGCGGAAACCCATCTCCAATTACCAACTTTGTGGAACAGTCACAGTCACAGCCACCATAAATTTTTGGAGAATCATCAAAAAGCTTATCAAGACAGAAACTTGGGCGTGTGACATTGTGCACAGAACAGAACATCAACATTACCAGTCTTTCTTTCTTTCCCATGTAGCAGCATCAGTTATCTAACTTCTACATCACTCACTTTTACACTGTTATCCATTTGCACAATAACCACTCAATTTACCTCCAAAATTAAGAGCATTTCTTTCGTTAATGTTCAATACATAACAAATTACAATTACCAATAGTAATGCCACCTTCACTGCTGAAACAGCATTATCTAGCCTCCTACATGTCAAGAGATTTATCCCATCTCTTTTATCAGTGTCATTTCCTTCCAGGGATAACTTTTCTTTTTTTTATTGATTATTTTAGTGTATGTTTAGACTGGTTGACAAAATTTGTATGTATCAATCATTGATATAACTATTCATTACATGAATTTTATGTTTGAATGTGCTGGATTAAAAAATTAAATATTATTTGTTTGGGTTGTATTAAGGAGATCCTTTTATTAAAATTATAAAAATGAGATATAATTTTTTTTTTATTTAAAATAATTGATTGCTGAAGTTCAAAACAAAAATAATTTTCAAAAAACTGATAATTCTTAATTATTTTTCTAACACATGTAACATTACACTAAATCTTGAATAAGATAAAAAGTTATATATAATACATTTTTATAAAAAAATTTGTAGTATTTAATATTGTTACTACATTAAATTCTGAAATTTTTAATAAAAACTTATTATATGTTAATTTTTAATCATATGTAATGTCGTACAAGTTAAATTTTTTTAATTTTTAATTATAAATTTCTATCACAATAACTGCAATAGTTTTTTCTCTGTGATAAATAGCTTTTCTTTGAAAGTGAAAGGACAAACGCTATCATTAATCTTATTTTTATTTAAATTTTAACATAAAATAGAATAATTCTAAGCAATATTTGTTTAAGAAATAATAACTTAAAAAAAGATAGAATGAGAGTTAGGTAAAATAGGAGATAAAAGTAGTTGATATTTTATCAATTAGGATGAGATTAGATTTTATCCGAATATTATAATATTTGTGTTTTTATGAATTGATATAATAATAATAACAATAGTAATAATATATAACTTTTATTAATTTTTTAAAAATCGTAAATATCCTTTATTAGAAACAATTTTGTTTGAGCTGGATAGGATTAACGTGTATAGTAAAATTTTCCTTTTAAATTCTTTAACTTTATTCTTATTGAAAGAAAAATATTTTTAAATAAAATTCTAAAATTATATTCTAGTTAAAAATTATATTTATAAATTTTTAGATTTACTTAATTATAACGTTAAAAATAATTATCTATAATATTAGTTTTAACTGCACATGAAAATAGAGAAATAATCTTGAATAACTACAATAATTCAATTCATTAAACAATATTTATTTGTTATTTTAATAAAATTTAAGAAATATAATTTTTTTTCATATTCGTTTGATGCATAATATCATAAGTTAAAGAAAAGTAAATATGTAATTTTTACTTTTAATTTTTTTGAAAAATATATTAAATTCAACATTTTTTTACACAGAAGTTTTTCTTTTTAATCAAAATAATTTGTTGATGTATAAGATATTTATTATATACAATAAAAAATAGTCTTATATAATATAATAATATATTTATCATTTTAAAATTTTAAAAAAATTTAAAAATATTAATATAATATAATTTTCTTCTTTAAATAAACTATTTTAATTTAATAAAATCATACGTATAAATGCACCCTTACATGTCCTTTTTTTTTCAATGAGATGTGTAGGGTTAGAAGCTCAACCTGGGCCTTGGGATACAATAGTTGTAAAAATAGAGAAGTATGTTTAATCCATATAAAATTTACCAGTGTGTTAAAACTTTTAAAGTTTTAAGGTGTCACATAAGCAAATCTAAATTAATCACAACATGTTACTTTTACATTCACTTGTTATATTGTTTTAAAATCATTATTGTTTTAAAGTTTTAAGGTGTTACATAAGTAAATTTAAATTGATCACCTTTTTCTGGGCATTTCTGAAGAGCTTGAAACAAGGCATTCATAGTACTCCATTTCATGAAAAAGGAAAATAGCTCAGTTTTACAACTATGAATACGAAGAATAGAAAAAAGAAGAAAACATAAAAAGAGAAAAGATAAAATAAATGAGTTAAATTATTTAATATTAAAAAAATAAAGATAATTTTTAAAGATATTAAAATTATAATTATTTCATAATGAAAAAAAGTCGTTTAATCAATCAGTAAGTGAAATTGAAAATAAAAATAGAAATAATAGGAATAGCAAAAGGGTGATAGTGAGTTAAGGGTTTCCTCTAAGGCCCAAACAATTATGGGCAGCACCCTTTTCCATTTTCTAATATCTATTATCTGTTGGTTCTTAAAAATGTGGATTGGAAGGAAGAGCTTCCAAATCCAAACACAAGAAAGAAATGGACACGTGGAGGATGGTGGCACGCTCATCATGGAGAATGGAATTTCAAATCTGAACCGTTGGTGGATTCTGATCTCACTTTCTGAGTTCTTCCCTTTTCTGAACCAAAAAGTGAAAACGAAAATGGTAAAGATATTTGTGAGGCACACACCACCCAAAACCCTAGTCCTGCGCCTTCCATAAAACAAAGCTCCTCCTTCTTCAGTCACTTTCCCGGAAAATTCATCTCTCCGACTCCATAATCTGTACTAGTCGTAATTTTGCTCTTTCATTCCTCTCAATATGCCACATCACTTTATTTATTTATTTTGAATTTGTTTAGTTCGTTGTATAATTTGATTCGCGGATCGTTGATCGGTAACTTCGGACTTTTTAAACTTTTTTTCATTTTTATTTACTTGGAAACTGAACAGCGCGGTTCGTTTTCTTTTTTCGATTTTGATTTTGGTTAATTAACAGCTTTCGGTGTTGGCTTTTTTTGTTTTGTTTTGGTAGAATTAGCGATGGCGGACGACGGCGTTGCCAACGGTGTTGACGATCAGTACGGTGAGGAATCGGCGACGAAGATGGAGGCCTTGCGTCGCGAGAGAGATGAATTGGTGAGCGAGATCTTGGATAGGAAGGAGGAAATCGAGAAGCTGACGGCGGAGCTCGACGGATTGAGGAGCGACGGTGCGGAGATGAGGGAGAAGATCGAAGAATTGCAGGAAGAGGTTGTGCGGTCGCGTGATGCCGCGAAGGCGGCGGAGGTGATCGCCGCCAGGGCGGCGGAGTTGGAGACTGAGGTGTCGAGGCTGCAGCATGATACAATATCGGAGATGAGTGCTGCGGAAGAAGCAAGAGCGGAGGCTTCTGAATTGAAGAATGTTTTGGAAGAGAAGGAGTCTAGGGTTGAGCTTCTGGAACAGGAAGTGGCAGGGTTGAAGAAGGTGAAGGCGGAGAGTGAGGTGAAGGTTAGGGATTTGGAGAGGAAAATTGGCGTTCTGGAGACCAAGGAAATTGAGGAAAGGAACAAGAGGATTAGGGTCGAGGAGGAGATGAGGGACAAGATTGATGAAAAGGAGAGGGAAATTAAGGGATTCAGACAAAAGGTTGAGGAGTTGGAGAAAGTTGCTGCTGGGAAGAAATCCGAGTTGGAGGAATCGGTTAAGCAGAAATTGAGGTTGGAGGAGGCACTTAGAGAATCTGAGGAGAAAGCAACAAGTTTGGAATCGAATATTCTTCTATTGCGCAAGGAAGCAGCCGAAGCTGAGAGGGTGATCATATCGCTGAATGAGAAGGCGGTTGAGACAGCCGATAGGGGTGTAAACGGTATACATGGTGATGGGAAGGGATTGAAGGGGATGAAGTTGCAGTGGCCAGTAGTGGCAGCGGGATCGACAGGAGCTGTTGTTGCAGCTGCTGCTGTGATCTGTGTGCTATGGAAAACGAAGGTGAATTTTCTGTGATCAGAGAGTGAACATGGAAGGAGGGGAATTTGAATGGGAGGTTGTAGAGGTTAGATTTATCAGGCTTTTAGTCACTAATATGCTGCAATTTTGTTGGGTTATAAAATAATGCTTCTCTGGCTTTTGTTTTTTGAGCCTATGAATTTTTGACTCATGTTGAAGTTGGCATATTCGCTTGTTAGTTGCTTATTATAAGGATCAAACCATTGTGTGTTGGATTTAATAAATAGGTTGCAAAATTGAGATTAAATGTTTCTGTGTTTAGTTTGACCTTGTTAGCTTGGAAGATAACAACAGCCTTACACGCAATTTAAGGTGGCTCCCTTGGTATTAATGTTATACTCTGTAAGTTGTCCAATGTCATATTATCACCTCTGGTCTAGTTGTTTAGTTTCTGAAGATGATTTCTTTGCCATTAGTCTTTTCCATGGTGAATCGTATATGATGGTTAGATGATATCGCTGATTTTTTTATCTTTCATTATTGTTTTATTTTTGGCCTTTTTGCCTTTATTGGTTCCATTTTGGAATGTGCTCTAACATAGATTTATTTATTTTTCCTGTTTTTGCTCGTTTATTTCCATGTTCATAATCCATTTGTGGTGGTCGTATTTTGAAGAATTCGTATTTGGTTGACAGTTCTCGACACTTGTAGGTGGTGGGTTTGGCTCATGAGTGTACTCTTGCTTGCGTTGGCTTGCATTGCTTTAATTTAAAGATACACAAGTGTCTATTTCGTAAATTTGAAGATCAATGCCAAACGAGTTAGACTGCTATACCAACGTTAGATAGATACTATTACTAAACTATCATTGACTTAACCTGATAGATATTAAGCTACTGTTTGACTCCGTAGGAGACCTAATTCTGTGAGTGGAACATTTTACTGAATTTTCTTTAGTTTCTACCCTGAGAGAGATAAAAAGGGAGGCAGTAAGGTACAAGTACGCACTGTCTTGCACTTTTGGTATTTTTTTAAAATTAAAAAAAATCATGAAAAAAATAATCGTACAAGGTGCGTGTTATTACTTCAATAGAATGCTGAATGAGTATGCATTCTTGAAGGATTAAAACTTTTCCTAATATCAGAATCTCCTTAATGTGTTCATTCATGGATTTTAGCACGGAGAAGGTTCAAAATTCCTCGTGCATGCAACCAGAGATTTATTGCTATTTAGAATTTAATGATAATTCTTTTTATTTGTATTCATAAATAATAAAATTGTACATAATTCTTTTTCTTTGATTTGTTGGCATTCACTCCCTTCGTCTTTTGGGGTATAGACCCTATTCCAGCCTATTAGCCATTGGTCAGTTTACATGAATATTAGACTCGAGGTTTCACGGTAGCAGCAGCTGAGTCACTTCCATTCCATTTGGCTCTTCTCTCTTTGGGGCTTATTCATGTGACCTAAAGAAAAACTTTGGGGCCGTTCCATCGTAGATCGTCCAAATAAAGCAACTATGAGGCTTAGAAGCTCTGATTTTTTAGATATTTTTACTATTAAGATTCGTGCAGTCAAGATCAATAGCTCCTGTTCTGCATCTTCTTATTGACACAAGAAACACTATGGCGACGGACATGAACATTATTGTAGTTTTGGGTCGTCAAGGAAATGACGAATTAGAGATCGGTTGTCATCGGCATAGCCCTTCTGTTGCACCGCTCTGCATCCAAATCCCCGTCTGGTTCGTTCCTCGTCACTCCATCAACGACATCACGCTCCCTCATGCTCACTTAGTACAAAAGGCTGTCTTGTTGTGCACTCTTTACCCACGAGAATCTGACTGAAATATTTAAAATCAGCAGAAGTCAAGTAATTCTCATCGTTCATTTTTATATTAATATAGTGCAAAAATACTGAAAATTGGTTAAAGTAGTTTAGTTATGTGCAATATTTAAAATTAATTAGAGATCCTTCATTTTTATGTCAAAGAGAAGTAGATGGATATCCAAATATTATTAAAAGAAATTTTTTTAATTAATTTTATTTTTCAAAATTTAATTTTTGATTGTAAACTGTGTAATTGACTTCACTGAATGAGATAAAACAATTGTTATTGTATATCTTTTGCCAAAAATAAAAAGGCAAAAAAATATTTGTTTATATAATATTGCTATATTTACCAAGACTGATCGTCATGTTTATATCTACAAGCTACAAAACAGAAGGGCAACAATGGATTAAAATAAACTTACCAAGGTTCTAATATAGTGTCTGTAAATTATATTTGATAAACATGTTTAGTTCATGGAAATTTAGACATCGTAATTACAGAAAAAAAAAATCTCCTATTGAAGGTAAATTAGATGAAAATGAATTTTCTTTCATTTGAAACTTTTAATATGAAGGGAAAGATAATACAAAGGCTTCAAATAAGGTCTTGCAAATTTTGATGGAATTCTACCTGTTCAATGTTGTTGTACTTGTCTATCTTTTAACATGATTCTGATGTGTAAAAATCTCAGTAAAATAATCTATTTCTAGCGTGACAATAAGCAATTATGCAGTGTCTGAAGAACTCGGTGTAAGCAACCTTTTAGGAATCCCTCTCCTATAAAATTTTAAACCAAGCTCAGCAAAATGATTCAGTAGTTTCAAAAACGGTTCCTGTGTAAACTTCAAGGACCCTACGTTTTGCCTTGTTTAAACTTAAAAGGTGAAGGCTCATATTCGCTTAATAACTTGCTTTTGTTTTTGGTACATAATAACATGCTTAAATATAAAGTGAAATGGATTTTTTTTGTAAAGTCGTACTTAAAGGTAATTTTCCCAGAAGAATTAAAAAGAAAAATTAGCCACTGTAAATTGCATGGTATTCAGGAGGAAATGTCTTTTACTGAGCAGGCTCATGTGGCATATATTCTGTAGGGTCATTACTCGTCACACATGCCACTTAGAAAAGTGAAACTTTTAGAAAGTCAGGGTGCATTAACTTCCCTTTGAAATTATCTTGAGAGGAGTGTTAACTACACGCTCTTTTAATACACTATTTCTAATACACCATTGGTCATTAGACAAACCTAAACAATAGTACATAAGAGTGAAAGAAAAAAAGGTATTCTAATGGTCTGAAACTAAAAATTAAAGTAGTTAGGAACATATACGAACTTGTCTCAATGTTAATAATAAACCCAACAATGTGAGCTTTGGATGTGCATAAACAAATTAAAGCATGACATGCATGCGGGGTGCTGGTGGCAAGAACACTATCTGAAAGGAAAATTGACAAATTCATTGTGCATTGCTGTGTGGTGCAATTTTGATCAATCATCAACCTTACCTATTGACAGTTTTCAGATCGACAGCTAGGATATGTATTCAAATTTATTATTAATCTCATTTGGGCTCGGCACATGGTATACAGCGGTTCAAATTATTATATTTTACTCCTCTCCCTATTTCATCATTTTTTTGCAGAAAGGAGAAATTAAAACATCATTTAGAGACATGATTAATAAAATGGTTGTGGTACATATAACATGTCTATAAATGTAAAATTTAAAACATATTATATGACGTTTAAATGTATAATTGTGGATTAAGGTAAAGGAAAAAACAAGTCATTACGCAAATGCTTTTCTTCCTTTTTCACTCTAGAAGTGATGGGGGTGAAAAAGTTTGTTTTATGATAGAGGGTATGCAGATCTTGATGGGCAAAAGAAACTGATAGCTGGCTTACGCACTACATACCGTGCTAAGGTTTTATCCTTGTAACGTTTGTGTGTCAAGTGAGGACGAGGAAAGATACTAATTAATAAGATGACACCACAAGGGTGACCATCATTCCATGGCCACATTAAAATTCATCATACGAAGTTACTACTTAATTTTTTCATCAACCCTTTCTTAGAGGTTTTGCTCTTTTAGTTGCTTTGAATTTAGTTGAGCTATCCTCCTATACTCACTTAAATACAAAAGGAATTAGCCAACAAGATGCGTTATGTGTTTAGGGATGAGAATTTAATTTGTACATAGTTACAAACATTGTATGTAATGGAAAGGAAAATTATCTATTAAATGAGTATATATTTGGATCTAAGAATTTATTTATAAAAAGTGATGGAAATGAGTGTGGGATGGATAATTTGGTAGTCATTCCATTCCATTCCAAACCTGCTTAGTGTAAGCTAATATAAAAAAAATTATGAAAATTGTACTCTTAATTTATTATTTTTAAATTTAATTGCATTGAATAATGAAGATAGAGGGTACGGATGATTATTTTCTTTAGTTATGGAAATCCATCAGCTGATTGCAATGTGCAATGGGGTCATTCCATAGCTCAATGGTGCCACGTTTATGTGGTTCATTTATTTAGTTCTTGTGCTTTATGATAAATGCCATTTCTATCGCTATGTATAAGCTACAAAATTGTAGGAAGAAGAATCAGGAGACACATGAACTTGGTCGACAACGTGTGTGACTGAAAAATATTTTTCTTATAATAAATTCTAGTTCATGGAAGTCTATAATATACCACAATAGAAATGTACCATTTTTTTTTTCCCGGTTTTGAAACGAAAACAATGAATGTAAAAATTCTGAAACCAAGCACCAGAAGATGCCCCTTAATTTGAGAAAGGGCACGTCACAGCCTATGATTGTGCAATGCTTCAATACTTTAGCTCGAGGTTCAACCTTCTAAGATGCTCTACCCTGTAATACTGAATAAATCAACCAAAGCGATTCACAAGTTAGAAAATGCCCCCAAAGCAAAACTATTGTTAATATTGGCATATTAACCCACAAATTGTGAATTTGACCGCATGCATGATATGCAAAATTTGTGTTCAAATAATCATATTGATTTGACATTGAATGTATGCTAAAGTGAATTTACGGACTAAATTGATGAATAAAGTGTAATTCTGATGCCAACTAAGGCAAACTTCGAAAATTGGACAAATCAAAAGGAAAACGTATAATATAACCATAGGACTCCAGATATTCCCATTGGGCTTAAATGTTATCATAAAGACAATCAATTTGTATTTCAGATTCAAATCCAATTGATATGCTATCATAATTAAACCACTTCAAATAAACAGTTTAATTTAACATTTCTTCAATAAACTTATGACCAAAGAGCTTATATCATAGCATAGCCATAGGAAAATAAATAAAAAGAGCATATCATAAGAGAATGAGCCATTTGATAAATCCAAATAAGCTCCATATAATCTTCTGAATTCCACCTTAATCAATTATTTAAAATTTATTATTGGCTAAAGAAAAAATAATCCTTAACTGAAGTTCACTCACCTTAAATTATCTACCACCACCCGTCATAATATCAAAGAGTCCGCAGCAACTCATCCAAGAGGTCTGTCACACCAAAAAGAATAGGATCATTAAATACATATCTTCAAAGAAAGGCACATGAAAAAAAAAAAACTCTAAAACTTAATAACACATTCTAAGCACAAAATAAAATGTCTATATGAAATTATCATAAAGTGTGAAATACTCACCCCATTTTCAGTGCTTCTTGGTACTACTTCAGTCTTTGCTTGCACAGTGGCAATAGTGCCTTCAGCATGAACATTTGGCATTGGTTGAACTTGAAAAGACTCCTTAGCACTTTCATTTGATGGTTCCCCAACTTTATCAACCATAGATGACTCCAGTGATTTCTCAATTATGGTTGGAGGAACCTTCTCACTCTCATCTGATTTTGGAATACTTATCTCCATAGTTTCCTTAGAAGTCACATCAATTGGAGTCAAAGAAGAATTACCATAGATTTCAATTGGTTCTTCACCCTCCCTATTGAACCTATATGTGACAACTGAAGACAAAACATTCTTCTCTTCAACAACTGCCATGTCCTTAATACTTGTTTCAACCACTTCAGTTTCTCTTAAGCCCTCATTACCTGAAACTGAAGAGATCTCTTTATTGTCTTCTGAAGGAAGCAATTTTGCTTCCTTTACCCCATCATCAGCCACAGCTACATCGGATACAAAATCTTTCCATTCCTTGTCCTTCAATTCCAATTCTACAGTATCAACTTGAGCATCTTTTGTTGCACCAGGCTCAAAAGAATCATCAGCAACTGACTCAAAAACATATATTCTTTCTTCAACTTTGCTGGACTCAATCAACTCCTTCTTCTCCTCATTTTGAATTGCCTCTTCATCAGTGACGGCAATATCACCATCCGGAGTGGTTTCACTGAAAGACCTAACACCATCTTCATCAGCAGCAGTTTCAACAACCACCCCCTTATCTTCTTCGCTCAAAGATGCTACCTTCTGAGTGTCTTGCAGTGTTCCATCGAGAGATCCTTCCATTGTGTTGCTACGGTTTGCAGAAACAGCAGCACCTGCAGATAAAACAATGACCCTTTATCTTGCTTTTATCACCACAAAAGATGGCTTTGGCAGATGAGTGTCAAATAACCGTTTTCTTTCTTATTAAAGAAACATAAATAACATCACAGTTACCTAAACAGTTTGGTCTAACTGTTACTGAAAGCAAAAAAGAGAACAAAAGGAGATTAAGAAAAGTAATTAAAAAAAAAAAGACATAGGATACCCAACAAGGATGTAGAAAGAACAGATAGCCATAAGAAAAAGGTGAGGCAAGTGGGTGGGGGAAGGTAGATAGGGAGAGCAATAACAGTGTTAGAGAGTGATGATCACCTTGGAGTTGAACAGCAGAAGAAGAATGGTGGTTGGGTGTGGTCAAAGTTTTGATTTTCTTGGCTTGCTTTGTTTTCCTTCTTGAAGCTGATGGCATTGAGTCTGAATGGTTGTTGGTTGTTTCAAAGAGAAGGGTGGATGAAGTTTTGGTTTTGGTGTGTAAATGGTTATGGTGTGGCTTCCCTTTCTTTCTTTGTCGTTGTTTACTTAAATAAGGAAAGAAAGTGCTTTTAAATTGAAACGCTGGTGGAGGGAACTGAAGTGATGATGAAATGTTCAGTTACATGGAACACCCCAAAGACCAAAGTCCAAACACATCAGGGCTAGGAATGTGCACAATCATCATCATCATCCAAAAGGGAAATGCTTTGATAACCGTTACAACCTTAACTTGAATAAGTATATTATGCTTAATATGTGTGTAAAGATGTGTACTATGTTTTCATTACACGACCAATCTTAGGTAGATGATTTAACTTGCTGTCTTTGGAGTCAAACGTTGCAAATAAAAGAATGTGTTGAAATATATGCGAGTGACTTGAGGTTTGAAATTTACCAAGAAACTATCATTTATAAAATGTCGTATGATTGATTTTATGGAGAAACGTTTAAATATTTTCTTACAAAATTTGTTATTTCTTGCTCCTTATTTTTTCTTTTTCTTGGTGTTGTTAGATTTCGGCCCACGTAACGCTTGTGCAGCTAATATTTTTGATAAGTCCAATAAGTGTAACCCAAAATAAGAACTCTTTTTTTAAAGTCAATCCCAAAATAAGAAGTTGAATGGTTGTGGCTTGTGGGTGCCTTGCATCTCTTTCTTGTGGTTTTGCTTTTCTGTGCCTGTGACTTTGTTGCACTTGGGCCTTCGGCTTTGTGAAACCGCTGTCCAACAAAAAAAGTGAGAATTTTCATGAAAAGTACGTAAGGGTGCCTCTAAAATGAACAACTAATTTAACATATTTTATATTAAATTAAGGTTTCTTAGGGATTTTCTATGATTGGTCCAACATTTATTTAGATGTAAAGAAAATTTTTAAGATTATAAATGATATAAAATAAATTAAAATATGAAAAATTATAATTATTTAAAAATGTGATTATTAAAATTTTTGATTTTATAATTAGTAATGTTTTCGTTTATTATTTATCATATTTTACAAAAGTTATTATTTTTAAATGATTTCAATTCAATCAGTTTTCTTATTATCTTTGATAATGCTTTTAGCTTTTAGATAATTTATTTGCTAGTTTTGTTAAAGTCACCTTATAACCAATTATATATGTCTATTCATTTTAGACAAAATTTGTTTAAAGAGTGTCACATGTTATGAAAAATATAATTATTTGACTAAACTTTCTTTTCATGGACACATATATATATATTTTATTTATAGTAACGATGGAATAAAGAGCAACATCTCAACCTTATATGAGTTTGAGTTTAAACAAATTGAACTGAAAAAATTTAAACTTATTTGAATTTTCAATTATAATGTCTAAATTTTTATTTTATTTTTTACAAATATTCTCAGGTCGACCCATTAAATATACTATATTTTTCGGGTTTAATATTATAAATAAAGTGGACTAATGTTAGATAAGTTTTCTTTATGATATCAAGAGTTCAAAAATTTTTGTTGTAATAAAGAGGGTTATGTCCAATGACCACTTTGCCTCTAAAATAATAATAATAATAATAATAATAATAATAATAATTAGTTTAAAAAATTCATAATTGCTGTGAGGTATTGAGTTATAACACGTAAACAAAACTGCACTCAATACTTGAAGAAGGTAGGAAAGTCAATTTCGTACGTTATTATTATTTATTTACATTGCTTCACCTGCATCATCGTACACCAACTGGCTCACACTTGTTCAATTTCTATCATTTTATGAATGAATTTAATATATATGTATTTTGTTAAATAATATTTTACATATTAATTAAAAACTAATAAAATAAAATTTATTAAAAATCATGTTTAGAGTACTTTCAAAATTACAAAAGAGGGTATAAAAAGTTATTATTAATTTTTAATCAATATTTGATATATAAATAGATAGATAAAAATTAGAATAATGTAATGTAAAAAGATTTAAATGGATAAAAATGAGAATGAAATAGTTATTGTGCAATGCTAGGTGTGAACTATAGCTAGTGATGGTTGTTCTGCCATGTAGCAAGCAGAGCAGTGCATTGCATTTAGTCAAAACCTTATCACAAACTTTTGTGTGTATAAGTCTTCCTTGTCAGACCCACATTGTCTCAAACAGCAAGAACCAAATAATAACAGGACTTGGTACAATTCCAATTTCCATCAGAATCTCTAATTCTCCATAAAAATTATTAGATGCAAAGCCAAATAGAAACAATATGATTTTTATTTATTTATGAAAAGGTAACATAGGTGATATTTTAAAAAAATAAATCTATATTGTACGGGTATCAATATAAGTTTTGTAAGTTTTATATAAATTATTCTTTTATTTTTATTTGTTTCTTTGTTTTTAATATAGAGAATATATATTAATATTGTCACGGTTATCCTATTATTGTGCGCCTTTCACCTCTTAAAAATTTACTAAGAATATAATCATGATTAAATTTAAATACAAATATTATATTTAAGTTACAACAATAATCTCTCTATATCTAAAAAAATATACATTAAAATATTTAAAGATAATTCAATAAAATTTTGATTTTTGATGTTGACTTAACCTTGTACAGTACAGTAACCTGATAGGAGCCAGAGACTTTATTTCTAAATTATCGATGTGTTATCTTCTGACATACAAATCCAACTTAAGTATATTTAATTTTACGTTGAATTTACTTAAATATAAATTTATTTTAATTCCATATACTATAATGTTTACATTAAAATGTAATTTCATGTGGCACACGCTTAGTTGTTTGAATTTGTGATCTTCCAAGCAACTCTGTTTTATGTTTGGTACGTTCATATCATATGTGAAAAAGCATGTGAGTTTGTCTATTATAAATAGTGTACTTGTGACAAGGTATATCTTATTATCTCATAATAATGAAAGATCGTGTCTAGTTTAGTTTTAATTTCTATCATTGTCCTTGTTTAACCATTAGATGGTTCTTAAAATTCAGAATTTGATAAATTTAAAGAAGCATAACAAATCGTGTCTTCCAAATCACGTTCCTTATCAGTTACCACTTGCAACATTTATTTTTTAAATTTCAGATATTTTCTTGGAAATGGTTACACCAATAGCTTTTCTGGTTTTGTGACTTCAATGGATACGTTTCCCATAACATTCTTTTTCACTAGTATACATTTAAATGATGCTGCTCATGTGAATCTTTTTATATTTTGCTCTCAATTTTCTTAGAGAACCGAGTCAAAAACTCCTTCCATATCGAAGTAACATGTGCAAGCACCTCAGTTCAAGGACAGCATAAGATAGGAAACAAAATAATATTATTATTATCTTATTGGTAATGTCAATGTGTTGCAAGAATACAATATTTTATATGGTAAAACAAATATGATTTGAGATGATTTCATGTATACTTTGGAGAAATTTTGATGGGCATTCCAAGGGAAGGGAAGGGCAGAGGATCCATTGTGATTGACTCATCTGGATGGAGTAAGAACCACTCATATTGAGTCACAACATAATGCACAAAGATGAGGATATTTAACTTGGCTAATTGGTACCCTGCACACACTCTTGGCCCTCCTCCAAAGGGAACAAAAACATATTGGGGTATTGCCTCCTCAAACCTACTTGGGTTGAAATTCATAGGATCCTTAAAATACTCTTCATTGTAATGTGTCCCATATGTTGTCCATAGCACCTGAAAAGAGCAAAAAATAAACACACACCATATTTCTAATTATAAGGTTTAATTCACAATTGACAATTTTGGAAATACATGTGGATTCAATCTTTACAAGAAGGAAAGATGGAATTGTATTCACCTTCCATCCTCTAGGTATAATGTACCCTTCATATTCAATATCAGTAATAGCCTTCCTGAAAGAACCAAAGATAGGAGGAAACAATCTCATGCTCTCTCTAGCAACTTGCCATGTATACTTCATCTTCTTTATGTCTTCCACTGTGAGATTCTCACCCAATCTTTTGTTGCTCATTATATCAACATGTTCTGCAAAAAAGTAAGTACTACTAAGTTATCAACTCTATTTCTTTTTTTGGACAATTTAAACATGATTATTTCGGAGTGCATGAAAGCTAATTTTAGATTACCTTGGAGAAGTTTTCCATAGCAATCAGAATGGTGAGCCAACATCTTGAATGTCATGGCAACTGAAAAAGAAGTAGTATCATGAGCTGCAAAAACCAGCAACACCACATTGTCTACGACCTCTTTTTCGCTGATCTCTCCTTGGATCATCCCAGATACCAACTTGGACAGCAGCATTCCATCTTGTTCTTCTTGCAAGCTTCCTTCTTCCATTTGCTTTCTCTTCTCTCTCACCACTTTGATCAACATCTTTTCTATCTCCATTCTGGCCTTCTTTGCTCTCCAAAATTTAGAACCTGGAAACATAACTGCTGGAGAAAATACACCTTCCAACACTTTTTCAAAGGTATCTAGCATACCTGGCTCCACATTGATCCCCAACAAGCACTCAAACACTATGCTAAATGTTAGGACTTTTGTTGAACGGTAAAGACTAATCTTTTCTTGACCATGCCATTTTGTAGCTAAATGAAGCTTCACTGAATTGCACAGTTTTGGAACTAGCAGTTCAAGTCCAACATAGCCAAGACTTGTGCTAATAACACCTCGGAGGAATCGGTGTCTTTCACCATCTTTCTCCATGATAGAGTCCTTTCCCATGAGCTGAACTGAGGAAGAAGGCCAAGAGCTTTTCACCAACTTGAACTCATTAGACAACAAATATTTATTGGCCTCAGCTCCATTCACAATCACTGTTGGAGACCCCATTATCCTTGTTTTGAAGATCTTCCCATGTTTCAGAATGCGAGGTTGAACAAACTCTTCAAACAATTGGTTTCTCCTTTGAGCACTGAAGAATTCCATGGTCTCCCCTATCAATGGAAAGCCCATTTTCCCTGGTGGCAGCTTTCTTTTGTCTTTGCAACATTGCTTGTGCCTCAAGAAATTGAAAGACACTAGCAAAAGTAGGGGAAACAAACCCCATAAAATAAAATAGATTATGTCCCCAAACATTGGTGAGCTTTCGAGGATCAAGGACTTTGAAAATTTTGAACTCTTATCTTATAAATTGTTTTAAGACTCAAATACTAATCACATATTTATAGGAACCTATGGTTTGTGGAAGAAGATGAATAAAGTCAAACCCAAATGAATTTTATTATAATTATAATGTTGATAATCCTAGAAGTCAATTCCCTTCTAATAAATATCTTATTTGAAAGCCTGTGATCTGGTCAAATTGACAAAAAGAAAAATGAATACTACAGCACTAGAACTTGTGAAAAGAATCCCATGTAGGATTCTTGGCGGTAATAGATTCATTGTTCCAAAAGAATGACACGTAATCATCATTATATACCTGAGAAATTCAAGATGCAAAAAAACTCGTTTTTCTCTTCATGGTCAACGCTAGAAGCTTTTTAGTTACCCAAAAATCCCTAAAAATCTGGTGAAGTCTCATTATTTTATGTAACTTATGGTCTTGTTTCAGCCATTATGATTGCTCATTATTGCAGCAATATATAAGTAAATACTTATGTCTGACGGTGCAGAATCACCGTCTTTGAATCTCAACTTTACAATATCTTTCTAAAGTAATTAGAAGGGTAGGCTAATAATCTTTGAGATAATGTTGTTTGCAACCGCCTAAGCACAGTTAGAAAGCTGGATTTTGAGGATTTATTGCTTGTTGGGGGATATTTAGGATAGAAGGTTCGTTATGGTATATATGTAAATTTGAAGGAACTATAACCAAGCTGTGAAAGGATTGTATACAGTTGTTCTTTTAAGATTAAATTAATGTCAAGATTAGTTTGTAATCCTAACTTTATATAAAAACTAGAAAACAAAAAAGGAAGTGCAATGTCACCAAACTGTATGATTCATTATTTGATTACGATAATCAACAACAATTTTTTTGAGATAGAATTACCTCTACATTATTATATATTATTTCGTATGAATAACTTAACAGTAGTATAATTTTGTTATAGTTAAAATAGATGTTAATTAAAGTAAAAAGACAGAATTTATATGCGGTTGTTTAGCTATTGCTACTTGTACTGTTTATCAATTGGAACTGAGATAAACTTTAATCTTAACTGAAAATTAATATAAAAAAATATCTATGACACTGTATCAAAGGTATTTTCAAGTAAAATTGGCTCATTCATGGAACCATGCAAGAGTGAGTAGGAAATGAACTGGCTCTAGAGTAGCTACATTCATAGAGCAAATCTCATTCCTAACAACTCAATAATAAAAGAAAATTAACGACTCTATGGTCCTTCCATACGTGGTATGTTAAACTTGTCGGTTCTATCACAACCCATTCCCTCGAGGGAAAGTTTAGATTATGGTAATGTAACCACCAAAACATAATTGCAAACGGATTGAGACCACTTGGAAGAAAGTAACATTGTAACAGCGTATAATATCTTGTGGGAAGCTTCATACAGACATTGTTATCATGTAATTGACGTTGGATGGTTGCATTCAATGCAGTCTAGACGTTGTTATCAAAATAGTGGTAGTTCACACGGCTTATGCAGATCACACCACACCATTATTTTTCAGATACATTTTTTGCTGTTGTAAATTTATTATATTATAAACATTTAATAGTCATATACTCTATCTTCGCTTCATCTCGTGATTTGTTCATTATCACACGCCGAGGTAACCTGTATGTATTACAAGTATTATTCATAAGTAAAAGGGAATTGTTCATCGAAGTTTCACATGAAAGGAAAAGTAAAAAAATATTATAAATATAAAATTTTATTTTGTACTTTTTTTTTACCATAATAATGTATATTACTTTGAATGCCCGGAAATTTTGAGTTGTCTAAAAATAGTAAAGATGAGAGTTTGTAATTTTCTATCAAAAAATTATAAGTAAAAAAAAAATTATAATTTTATCCCTTCAAAATTACTGAATAATAAAACTATGTTAGAAATTTATAGATGTAAACAAGAAATGCTGAATCATGTTAAAATTGAGTTTTTTTTTTTCTTCTTATTTTCTTTTTTTATATATGTGCTTCAAGATACAGAGAATGCAAAGAGCTCCTTTGTTTTTCAACATTATAGAATATTAATTATTTAGAAGGGTGGTCCTGCACCCCTTATAATAAGTTATTTCTATGAAGTTCCCGTGAGGGATAGAAATACACTCCATTCCTTTTTATCACTCCTTCAGCCAATATTCATCTTTGCATGAGCCTAATGGAGTCAAATTTTTAAGAAAACCCTTTTGCATTGCCTCTTCAAGCAGAGATGGCTGTTGGATTCGCGAATTTATGGAAACTGATAAAAAGAACTCCTGCTGTAGTAGAGGAAGCACCTTTTCTTTTAATTTAGGTCCGTGGTAAATATTTTGGTTGAGGATAAACTGATAAAGAGAATAGGTGAATCATAAGATATATACAAGTTTATTAAAGGGAGAAGCACATGATTTTTCAAAACATATAACTAATGGACCTTATAAACAATAATCATTGATAAATTCTCTCCTATGAAATTGAAGGTCTTGTTAATGAGCCTCTTACCATCGTTGGATAAGAAATAAGCATAAAAATATCATTAAAATTTACAGCAAAAGATATATATAAAAAAATGCTAACAGTAACAATATATTGATAATATTTTTTTATACTTTGTCCTTTTAATATCTCAACTAGTATTTTAAAGACACTTTTAAACATTTTTCAAATATTTATGACCTTTAGAATTTAGATTTTCTCATATTAATTTGCTTAACATTATGACAAAAATTAAAATAACTATAGTAATAGTCACCATTATTGATAGAGTTTATATATATATATATTCTTTCTCGTAACGTAATATTACAACATGTTACTAAAGTAAGTCCAAAGTCATATTTCTGTCCTATTAATCAAGAACAATTCAGATCCAAGTTCAAGAGACGATCTCAGAGAAATGTTGCAGAGCACCTTTACCAAAATAGTCAGAATCCATGAAAACTTCACCACTCCAGTTAGGAGAGGCTTTGCAGTTCCTACTTATATAACCATTTATTTTACTTCACAAATAAACAACAGAGTTGTCGGTTTATAAACATTTTTGCTCATAGCCAACTCGTTTTCTTTGTATGTATATTTATTTCTATCAACGATTTTTTTTTTTTTTTTTTTATCAAAACTCTTTCTGTGTTGTGGTACTCTAAAAATTTTGTATGGACATGTACTCAAAAAGTTTAGACTAATAAAAAAACACATGTCAAATTAAAAAAAGATATTATATATAATTTATTTAAAGTTATATTATTGATATTATTTGTTACATAATATTATTATTATTATTTAATTTTTTGTTTTATTTTTTTTATAAATTTTTAGTTTTAAATAAAATATAATTTATATTAAATTTATTTAATAATAAATTATTTTTTTTGTTATATCTAAACAAAATAGGAGGCTGTTAAATTTTTAAATAAAAATAAGACGTAATCAAAATTAAATTAACTAAAATTTAAAAAAAAAATTATTATATTAATATATTATATTATAATTATTTTTTATTTATAATAAATAAAAATTATTTAAATAAAAATTATATTTTATTTTTAAAAAAAGTATACTAAAAATTTATAAAAAATTAAATATATATATATATATAATAAGATTATGTAGCAAATAATATAAAAAAATATAACTTTAAATATATTATATATAATAATTTTGTTTAAGTTAACACGTATATTTTTTTATTGATTTAAATTTTTTAAATACAGTATCTATAAAAAAAATTTAGGTTACTACAGAATTTATCACTTATAAATATTTAAAATTTTCTAAACTTTCAATGCCAATCACAAACACTTATCAAACATATAAACTTAAATTCATAATAGTTAACATAAGCTCGAAATTATTTGGTTAATAATACCCATCTTAGGTATTTTAATGGTTGAGGAGTTTGAATGTATTTCTAAAAATGTGTACATTTTTAGTAATATGATATACACAACCTTACATATGGTAACTGTTTATTTAAGTTCTTAAAATGCACAATAATTATGTAACAATTAATCTTCTCAAATAAAAGACTAAAGCATAGACAAACTTTAATTATAAAATATCGTGTAATTAAAACCAAACCAATGCTTGATTAATCTCAAAATGTTATTGAGATTGTTCATAATTTTACCAGCAAAAAAGAACAAAAAAGCCACCCCTATTGACTACTCTCCCAACATATTTGTGTAAGCTCACCTACTCTCTGCCAATGTCATTTAGTTCGGAGTAACTCACTTGTAATTTCAGACATTGGGATCCCCTTTCTCCTTTTCTTTTTCTTTCCTTTCCTTCAGTTGTCTTACTTCAATACATTTATGAAAATTGATTATTGCATAAATATTGAATATCCATGATGACAAAAATTCAGAAATTATTTAAATAGAATACTAATTATTATTTATTGACTCAAATAAGAAAGTGAGAATTATTTGAAAAATAAACATACATTTCTTTAAATAACTCGACTATATATGTATCTGTAGCAGTCATGTATGTAAAATGCAGAACAATGGACACCTAAATGGGGATCACAAATTTTCCCGATATCTTGGGTTCCATGCAAGGATTGTGCCAATCGAAACTATGCATTTAGAGACAGGAATGAGGATGAAAAAATCTTCCCAAAAAGAGATTTAGGGACAAGAACAAGGCTGAGGATTATACTTACTATCTCGTCAAGTCCTTAAATATTTAAAATAATAAAATTATTTTTTATTTTAAATACATGTGTATATACATAAAATTATTAAAATCATCTTTTTTTTTCTGGATAACAAGTATTTTTTCACTGAAAACAATCGTGATCAAGTTAAATAGGACTACAATGAGTGACAAAATCATCGTTAAATTAATCAACAATAAATATATCTTCAGGTTTTTTAATCTGTGCAATTTTGTATAGAATAAACTCTAATAAATACACCACTTAACTAATAAGAGAAGAGTAAAAAATAATTTTTTTAAAAATTTATAATAAAATAATTAATATAAATTAGTTAAGTAATACATTTATTAGAATTTATTTTATGCAAAATTGTGCATGTTAAAAAAATTCATATACCTTTATTACTTTATTTTATACATTTGTTTTAGAGGAGCTGCTGGGAATAATAAGACACGTAAAAGGAGAAAATAAAGCGGAGGGAATCGGTGAGCTATATTAATATATTTTCTTTATGCTTGCGGGTTTTGTATTATACTATCAGCTTTTATATATCTATGTATACAAAGAAGTATATATCCTATATTGATGACTACATAGTACGTAGATCAACCCCAGAAATTTTTTAGAGTAACCGTTATAAATATCGAGAAATCTCTTCTGAGGGATATGATATTGAAAAATCATTCCTGGGGCATGTCTCTATCAGCCACCATAAATGTAGGGGGTGCTAGAGATTTTGCTGTCAACTGTTGATATTATCTTCAAGCAGGGTCACTAACTTTATTGAAGGATAAAGAAATGTATAACACTCACTAAGCTTTCAGAATATAAACTCCAAAGCAAGCATAGCTTTAACTAGTACCATAATGCAACACTCAAAACTAAAGAGTAATATCCGTACAATCCATCTTAAGCTTATGTATGATCAACAAGAAACAAGGCCAGGATTAAGAGTGTACACACGTACGTGTTGCAAATCAATTCATGTCTTGTGTTTTAAAGCTATTGTAGAAAATTCATGCATTATTGAAGGAAGCAGTAGTAAATATGGAGTAAATGCACCCTGCAACTCATCAACTAACCCGCATACTTCTCCACCTGCAAATATTTACTCCACTATGTGAACCATTTTATATTCTCAGCCAGCTCCCCCTCTCCAAAGCATTAGAAAATCCTCAAACTTGCTTCTCTTCTTTCTCTGAGTTTTTCTAAGAAGTTAGTGATAATGGAGAGGAAAAATTGCACTCCTACTTTTCTTACAATATTCACATTGCTAGCTGGATTGCTTTCTCAGAACCTTGTCATCCCTGTAATATCTACCACCATTGAGGACCAGAAGAACTACTACTCTCCAGACCCACATGCAGGAGGTCATCACTCAGGTTTCTCTATTTCTCTGTGAAGTGCATATTTTACTTCATTACTTATGCAAAATTTGGAATATTATACACAGGCTCTTAACGTCTCTTGCAAGCTACAGTAGGCCATTTACTTCCAAATTGAAGTTCGAAGGAACAAAAGTTCTTACAAAAGCTATTTTGATTTGATATTTAACTTCCTAATCTGATAGTATATGTTGCTTCCACTTTTGAAGGGTCACACTCACACAGTCATTCATCTCATGGATCTGGAGGAGGTGGTAATGGATGCCCACCACCCTCTCATGGAGGGGGAGGAAGTTACACTCCAACCCCATCGCCACCTTCAGGTGGTGGAAGTTACAATCCAACCCCATCAACTCCCCCTGGTGGAAGCCATGATCCAACCCCATCACCACCTTCAGGTGGTGGTAGTTACAATCCAACGCCATCAACTCCCCCTGGCGGGGGAAGCTGTGATCCAACCCCATCACCACCTTCAGGTGGTGGAAGTTACAATCCAACCCCATCAACTCCTCCAGGTGGTGGAAGCTATGATCCAACCCCTTCACCACCCTCCGATGGCGGAAGTTACAATCCAACCCCATCAACTCCTCCAGGTGGTGGAAGCTGTGATCCAACCCCTTCACCACCCTCCGACGGAGGAAGTTACAATCCAACTCCATCAACTCCTCCATGTGGTGGAAGCTGTGATACAACCCCATCACCACCTTCAGGTGGTGGAAGTTACAATCCAACCCCATCAACTCCTCCAGGTGGTGGAAGCTATGATCCAACCCCTTCACCACCCTCCGATGGCGGAAGTTACAATCCAACTCCATCAACTCCTCCCGGTGGTGGAAGCTATGATCCAACCCCTTCACCACCCTCAAGTGGTGGAAGTTACAATCCAACCCCATCAACTCCTCCGGGTGGTGGAAGCTATGATCCAACTCCATCACCACCCTCAGGTGGTGGGAGTTACAATCCAACACCATCACCACCGTCAGACGGGAATTGTGGATCACCACCTGTTGAACCTTCTATTCCAACACCATCAAATCCTCCCTCAGGAGGTGGAGGGTACTATAACTCACCACCAACTTATGGTGGTAGTCCCCCAACAACACCAATCACTGTGAGCCCACCTTCAACCCCAATTGACCCAGGCACACCCACTATTCCCTCACCCCCTTTCCTTCCTGCCCCATCTCCCTTCACCGGTACATGCAAGTAAGTTCCTTTCACTATGTTGCACTGTATACTATCATATGATATACTGCCACACTGTTAAGTAATCTTTGGGACCTTTTGTACTGTAAATTGCAGCTACTGGAGGACTCACCCAGGAATCATTTGGGGATTGCTAGGCTGGTGGGGAACCTTAGGCAATGCATTTGGTGTCTCAAGCTCAACCATGCCAGGGTTTGGTGCCGGTCTCAGCCTGCCACAAGCACTTTCCAACTCAAGAACTGATGGGCTTGGAGCACTCTACAGAGAAGGGACAGCTTCCTTTCTAAACTCCTTGGTGAACAACAGGTTCCCTTATACTACCCAGCAAGTCCGAGACAGATTTATTGCATCGCTTAGCTCAAATAAGGCTGCAGCAGCACAAGCCAACCTCTTCAGGATGGCCAATGAGGGGCAAATGAAGCCTCGGGCATGATATAATTAACTTGGTTTGTGTGTCAGTTTATTTAGTTAAGAATACCATATCTATAAGACTTATTCTAAGAGTGTGTTATTTAGGTACTCATCATGTGTAAGATGGATATCATTTTCCTTACAACTTAATGTTAGCTTTTATGGTTTTTCATTTTTTAATAAAGTTGATATATTGTTAATTTGAAAGTTCAAAATCTTCATTCAAATTGTTCAAGTATCAAGATTTACATATGAAAGAATCTTAAATTCTTACAAAGAGAAACTTATTTTATTATATAACAATCGCATCAACTCTGTTAAACGACCGGTAAAATCAGAATATGAGATATTATTCATCAAATAAAACTAAGGATTATTATAAGTACAGCAAGGGGTGCATCTCATTACTGAAGGTCTGCCTATAAGGGTGTACATCTTTTATCCTTGTATATATAAAAATAGATGAATTTTATAGGGAAGTTTACCTTTATAATTGGATTAATTTAGTGTAATTAATATATATACTTTTTTTTAAATTTAATATTAATATATTAATGTATTTATTCTAAATTTTTTAGAAAAATTTGCCTTCACAGCTAACATATTTATTCATTTTTCTAATTCTAATATTAACATATTAATGCATTTATTATTACAAATTAATAGATTTATATATTCAAAAGGTCATGAAATAAAGAAATAAGTAAAAATTAATATAGATTTATATATTTGAAAGGTCATACATGTTATATTTTAATATGTTATGTATAATTAAATGTCACTTATGATTTCAAAGCTTTCTAAAATACGATTTAAAATAATATTTTTACAAATTTCAATACTTGATATTTGATTAATGAAGAATAATGGAATAAATAATAAAAATTAATAAGTTTATATATTTGAAAAGTCATGCAATAATAAAATAAATAAGAATTAATATTAATTTATTATAATTAACATATTTATCTATTTTTTTAACTTTAATATTAACATGTTAATGAAATTATTCTTGTAAAATTTATGATAATTTTAAATTTTAATATTAATGATTTACTTTAAATTTTATTATTAGAACCTAATAATTAGTATTTAAATAATGAAAAATAGTGAAATGAATAAATAAAAATTAATGAGTTTATAAATTTGAAAAATCATACAATAATAAAATAAATAAGAATTAATATTAATTTAATGTAATTAGCATATTTATCTATTTTTTTGTAACTTTAAAATTAACATATTAATGCATTCATTCTTACAAAGTTTAAAACATTTTTAAATTTTAATATTAATGGTTTACTCTAAATTTTAATTTAGTACAATTAACATATTTATACATTTTTTAACTTTAATATTAATATATTAATGCATTTATTCTTACAACATTTAAGATAAAATAATGATTAATTATAAATAATCAGTTTTTATTAATAATAATTTATATATAATAATTAATTTCAAACTTTAAAATAATTTAAATATTATTATACAAAATTTATAAAATTATTTTTTATTTTATAATTAATAATTATAATATTATATTATGACATAATAACGTATCTGTGCATCCCACGATCATCTTACTAGAAATCTTTTAAAAGAAATTGATTATCCAAGTAATCTAGAAATAGCACTAGTCTAGACATGCTGATTTTTCAGGCTACCTGAATTGCATTCAACTATAGGAATGATTCGGGAAGCCTTGCAAACATGAGCAAGGTCCACACCAGAAAGTGAATTGTTGTCTGGAATTGTTTCTTAGTGAAATGCGAGGGAATGGTTTTGTAGTCAATATATATAAACAGAGACAACATATGGTCCAAGATGCTAGCAATGGTGCTCCTATATTAATTGGGAATGCAGAGCTACACGTGGCAGAGCAAGGATTAAAGTGCCATGTGAACCCCAATTAATGTCCTTTTAAGTGCCTCAACAGGAAGGGTACTAGGCTTTCGCATGGTTCAGAACAATTATACTGGTAGGTAAAGACTATAAACGGAGGGTAATCTTCAAGAGTAATGTAAAAAGACTCGTTAAATCTTAAACATACACACACAAGAGAAAAAAACAAAACACAACACAGCCTCAACTTCCCCAAATTGAGCAAGATATTAACAGAGATCCAAAGGACCTCTACCACTGCTAGTTTCGATGATAAAAAGTAGTTTGTGCAATTACTTTAGTGGACTTCGTAGCGAGAATGGTATATTGCTATTTGCTTCACTATATATTCACTAGTGGGGAGAAATATAATACAAATTATAGACCATTTCTTTGAGCATTTTAATGAAAGAAAAAAGGTGTCATTTTCATTAAAAAAATATTTTAAAACTTTGAAGTAATTAGACAGGTTTTTCTGGGGTAAAAACCTCAGAACAAGTTGGGTTTTTTTTTATCACAGGTTAAAAGTATTAAATATTCTGGAAAAAAAATCTAAATGAAAATTATATGTGAAAAACATTTGTTCTTAAAGCTCATCCCAATGCACCCAAAAATTTAATTGTAAAATTCCAATGTGCATATAATTTTGAAGTCTCGAAAGCTTTTAAATGCTCAAGAAGGAATATGAAGTTGTCCATATGTCCAAAAGAGTCAAATTGAGATCCTTCCTAAGATTGTAAAGGACAGGAACACGTAAAAACTAATGATCCTAAAAAGGATCATATGATCTCACAAAAAATACAAAAAATTGAAATACAATACTTCCATATCACTCCTATTTTCACAAGCATTCTGGTTCTTAGAAGCTACACTTGCTGGGGCAACAGCAGCAATAGGTAATTACAATAATTTGGATGTTTAATGATAGAAAGGAATAAAGTTTCCATAATACTGTAGTTTGGCTGTTTAATGATAGAAAGAAAGAAAGTTTCCTTTTGCAGTTCTAGCAGAAGTGATTGGAAATACAAGAATTACAGGTTTGTTGTTCCCATGTTAACCTTATTTCAAACACATTAAACCTTAGGATTAATGGCAAAATATGTAATCTTCTAGGTTACTCCATCCAATATCCCACGACTTCCAATGCCCTGCCAATTTGGAGGGAAAGAAAGAAGCGAATAGAGAGGTGTGGAGCAGAATCGAGTCTCCCCTTGGTATATAATTTATAATCATTCAAACATTGGCATCCTGTAACATCTCATATCATTTTTTTTTCTTTTCTTTCATTCAACTTCAATCCAAGCAAAGCTTAAAAAGCCAAAGAAAATTGCTTGCGTTTTGATTAAAATACTGTTATTCTTGACTTACAAACCACTTACCTAAATTTGAAGAGAGAAAATTATACACCCTCCTATGAAACTTGCTCACATTATATTCATTTGCCCTCTTGTTTAAAATTTATTTTAGCCCTTCTTATTTTAAATTTATCAGATAAATATTTCCACTTTTCTTTTCTCAACAGGTATAGATGACAAATTGGCTTTGGATCATTGGCAAACCAGTCTAGTAGTCAAGCTTGCATGGTCAGTTTCCTACAAAAGGGTATTTTGAAGCGCTAAATATTCAAATTTCAAAGATGAAACAAGGATTTGTGCTTCAAATCTAAAAGGAAAAATGGCAGAAAGATTAAATCTAGGATAACATTCAGCAGACTTCTTGCCAAAGCACATACTGGTGCAAAGGTGCAAAGGCATACCTTTCATTTTTAAATTGATAACATCTGACAGTAACACCCAATTAAGAAATCCCAGCCCTTGAAAGTTGAAAGTCTCTGATAAAGTAACCACTATAGCAGTTTTTACATGTGAGTCACTGGATCTCTAACTGAATTTTCATGAAATGAGAGGAAGGATAGGTCCCCAATCTATTAGCATACAAGTGATTTCAATGACATACAAGTCCAGTTGGCTACAATTCTGTCATAGCAGGTAGCAACTTAAACACCAGAGAGCATCCCAAGTAAGGATTGATCAACTGATATGAGATTTAAACCATTTAAAAATTTGGTCAGAATGCACGCTAGTCATCTCATGGTAAGCAAATGCAAGGTTTAGCTCCTCTTGGATATGAGGGACCAGATACTTATCCAGCAGAACAGTTTTCTCCCCCTCGAGAGCCTTTTTCCATTTGATTTGACGCCCATCTTTCTTCATATAACCATTTTGATCAATAAAGCCCTTTTCCTGAAAGAACTCAAATAACCTTCGAGAAAGAGCTTGATCAAGACCTGGAATCCTATCAGCCAAAGTATTTGGTGACAACGGGAATTCCATACATTCAACAACGCCAACATCAACCCTGTTATCTCTTAAAACCTCCACATATTCATCTATTTTCTGCTGCCTATAAAGATCTTTAGGCATGTGAACAAAAAGGGTAGGTGGGTAGTCCCTTCTAATATCCATTTCCTCAAACATCCCCTCAGCAATCATGAGCACAATACTATTAAACTTCATCACAGTGGCAAGCACAGACACAAAATACCCTCCAGAGGAAGCACCCAAAGCCACAAGAGGAAGATTTTCAAGCTTCCTTCTGCCAATCCACCATTCTATAATGTCTTTAACAACTAACAGTTCCTTACCAAATGTCCAACATCTTTGTGCACTTGAAATAGTAATAACAGCAAAACCTTGTGCAAGACCATGAAGTACAAGCAATCGTTCTTCAGGCAAACCAACACAATCAGGGCATTCAGGGGATTTATCCCAAAAGTTGATGGCTTTACCATTGCATCCATTAGCCAGAAAGAGAACACCCTCAGGTGACTCAGGCACTTGCCATATCAAATCAGTTCCATTCCGAAATTCTTTTGTTGGATGCAATTGCACCAATGAATCAAAGCCATTCCACTTCTGTTTGGGAACTTCATAAGGTAAACTGGATTTTCCATTCCACTTTTGTTTGGGAATTTCATAAGCTAAGCTGGAAATTTCACTATCACTATCATTACGAAATACTAAAAATAAAACCACTAGTATTAGCATCAGTGTAAGAGACATGACAAACGCGGAGACCCGGCAATTCTGAGCACCACTCCATGACTTTGATTTGTATCCACGCTTCAACATGCTGCAAAAAGGGTTGATAGAAAGGGTAAGAGGATAAAAAATTTACCAAAATTTCATGAGAGAATATTAGTAAAGCATGATGGGTCGATAGCGCAAAATCAAAAATCAAATGCTTCATTCAAATCAGAGTGAGAATAGCTACGATGTTGAAAACATACCCGTGAGGAAACATGTGAAGAAACTCCAAATTCGACGTCTGCAGAGTGTTGAATCTCTAGGAACAAGGACAAACCGTTTGGTGAATCAGTGAAATCTTGTATTGTGTTAACGGCTTGCGGTTAGTTGTTGGGTTGGTGTCATTATACAGAGAAAATGACAAAGGATCAGCTTTGGGCTTTAGTGCACTTTGGGTATGCAGCATGCTGCTGGATCAAGCCCAAATGGGCTCTGCATTTCAATGTTTTTACCAACAATTAAAGGCCTGACGTAAAATATAAAGTGAAGTAATTTTATATTTGTTTGGTTAAAAATAACATTAATATTTTATCTTCTTTTACTTTATATAAGAGAAAATGAAGAAAAAACATGTACATGAATAATATCTGAAGGGAAGGGATTTTCCTGTTTTTATTTCATTTCTTATTTTTAAATGTTTGTATGAGAAAAATTGAAAACAACTTTATATTTTTTTATGGAGTTAAAAATTGAAAGAAAAAAATAAACCTTATTTTTTTTATGTTCTGTGTTGATTAACCTAAATAAAACGTTTCGACTTGAAACAAAAAAAAAACATTTTGATAATACTATATTCAATCCTATAAATAAACATTTAATTTTTCAAAATTAATAAAAATAATTTTATGTCATAAATTTTTATTCTGTTTCGAAAATATTTACAGTATTACATAATCAAATTAGTATGTTTTGTATGAAATGAATGAATATATCTACTTTCATAAATAAAGAATAAGGACTTTATTAATATAAATCTTATAATAAATAAGAGTATAAAAAAATTAACAATTAATTAGGAAATGAGTTTAAGTTTAGTGAATTTTCTGCAACTCTTTTCCATCTCAACGTCTGAAAGAGATGAAAGCATGGCAGCAATTGCTAGTCTTAAAAAGAAGAAGATGAATACTGACTAATGTCCTAATAGGATCCTAAAAAGACCAAAAAATGAATTTTTTTTAACAAAGATAATAATATATTTTTAAAAATAATACTATTTCAATAACATTTTTCACAATAAATTTTTAAATAAAGAGAGAGTTACTAAAATAGAGAAAAAGATTGAGTGAGAAATATAAGGTAAAAATAAGTAATATAATAAAGAGAAAGACATAACATAACAGAAGATAAATATTAACAACATATTCTCTAATATATTATTTATTGTTAATTGAAATTTACTGTAAACTAAGAAAATATGAAAAGAAAAACATTAATTTGAAAAAAGAGTCAAATTTATATAATTTTTTAAATTTTTAATAAATTTTAATCATATAACTCATGGCATGAAAGTATGTATGTTTATTGCAATTGGAGAGGCATGTGGGTGTGCCCCGACACATGGCACATTGGGCCCAGGCTCATATTGGGCCAACAGAGAACAGGGAGCACTTACTATTTAGTGGGCCAGAAGTGGGCCCAGTGGAACGTTACTTGTCATCTAACAGAAAATGAAAAGCAGCAAAGACAATGTGAATCATGTGCATGCTTCACCTTTGCTCCATAAGTTCAACTTTTGACTCTGTGCCCTCCATCACGTTATATGTGCCTTTTCTCAAACTCCAAAGCAAATTCCATTTTATTTTCAATACCTAAATCATTTCCTCCATTTTTTTCTTCCTTTAATTATATACGACTTCTGTTTAACTCATTACCCATTTCCAAATATTAGAATTTCAGATCATTTATCATGTAAATTCAGTTTCTAAAGCATAAGAAATACTTCATGCTTATGCCTCTTTGTTTGGTGTATAAATGTAACATTCTCTACATTGAAATTAATTAGGAACACATCTTGGCTAGAAAGATAAGAGAACCCAAAATGCATAAAATAAATAAATAAAGAATTGTAGGTGAAGAGTCTGTAACCATAATAAATCTACAAGGCTCACTGTCACTGTCAGCTAAAAATAACTAGTCATCGAAAGGGTGACAATATACAATATAAAGCCATAGATAGTGATAGCCCAACAGTAATAAAAAAAAAACAAATATAGGTGAAAAAAGACAATGTTTCAAGGACCAGATATTGGACTTGGAGTGGCAAGGACTGAATTTCAATGTGAACAGTGAATATGACCACACAAAGGTAAAATATATATCATATGTTGAATGAAATTATCTCTCCCAAAAACCCAAAATCATTTTATTTAAACTGGCTCAGTATTTTCTGCCTTATTTCTTCATCATCATGTTCACTTCATGGTACTTTAAAATTAAGGAAGATTTTGGAACATGTGCAAAGTTGGAGGGAAAAAAATAGATATAATATGTGTCTGTCAGAGACTTTGTACTATATATCCTCACGTACATGCAGGCAAAAATAGTTCTTTCACTTTTTTTAACTGCTTTTTTCTTACACTATATAGTTATTTTTTTTATTTCACTTTAATTCTTTTTATCGAGTTATTTATATTAGAAACATTAAAAATACCAAATTAAAAAAATAACACAAAATTTAAGCTTAATTTTATTTGTCCTTTCTCACTTACTATTAAGATAAGTTTATATTAGAAAATGATATAAATGGGTAACAAAAATAGTCTAACAGATGAAATTAAACAAAATATAATATTAAATTTTCAAAATTTTAAAATATGGAATTAATATACACATTCATATTTAACTATATATTTATTAGATTAAGAGCATATATATGTATATATAGTTGCTACATGGTATAGTTATTGTCGGCAGGCAGTCATACATCATACAAATTCTGTTGCGTCAAAGAGCATTTTAATCAAATTCAGATTTCATATTGATCCGTTATGGATGTTCTAGATTTAATAGTGTAAAAAATTAATAATAAGCCTTAATTAATGATTAATATATTCAAATATCACTGTATTAGAAAACACTAACTTTTTCCTCTGCAATCTGTGTGTTATTTTTATAAAATTATATACAATTTAATGAACTCTTCATTAAGAAATAAGACTTAATCAAAGAAAATCTAAATGTGTAGCTACAACATCCTTATCCATTTCCATCATGTCTCCATATTATCCTGAATCAACGTGCCCATGAATACTAATGTTATCATAGTGGGCTCGGTGATGACAATTTGTATTTATATATAATTCTTTATACCATATAATGTTTAATTAATATTCATGAAAATTTTATCTACATATTAGTGTATAGTTACTGAGCCAAGATAAAAGATAAGAGTCTTCGTGCTTGCTCCAACTCTGAATCTCACAGAGTCACGCTCCTATGCATATACTGTTCCTACCTGCAATTGTGGAGTTTTTGGGACAAGTCCAATCATGTATCAATTGTGAATGAAAAGAATAAATTGATTGACAAAAATTATTTGATTTGATTAATTATCGTAACGTTATTCAATTTTATGCTAATTAAATGTTAAAAGAGTAATTAATTGTATATATAATTCATTAGATCAAATACTACTAACCATTTTTTCAGAACTCTAGGTTTTGAATGTTTAGGTGAGCACTCACTAATAATAACCATTTTTCCTTTGAAAAAAATTCAATGCAGCAAGAAATATCTAACTAACAGACGTTGAAGTTAATAAGATTGGTTAATGATGAAACAGTATATTTAGTGCTTTCTCTCCCAACATAGTTGTTAAGACCCCAACCAAAGTTATTATGTTACAAAGATAATTTGAGACTATATTTTCTATTATTCAGTAAGATAATGTATAAATTGAAAAAAAAATTATAATTTACATCTGCATTTATATAAAATATTTTTTATAATTCTAGTACCACTTTAGTCTCTCAAATTCAAAGGATATGCATGATGCATAAACTCTTAGATTAATCTTTAAAATTATGTAATCGAGTATTTTAATATTTAAATATTGAAACATTTCATTAATATTTAATTTTGTAAAATAATATTTAATCTTTATTTAATATCAAATTGCAGAAGAAAGTAAAGTAAAAACATTAAAATAAATATTTTTTATAAAATTAGAGACTAATAAAAAAATTATCCGATCTAGATAATTTAAAAAAAATATCTTTAAAATTTTTTTATTTAAAAATAATAAATAATATTATTTTAATGTTTTAAACAGACATAAAAATAAAATAATATATTAATTTTAGACTATCAATAAAAATATAGACAAAATTAAAAAAATTGTTTCGATGTCACACAAGAGCCCAAATCTGCATCGGGAAAATTTGAATAACACGTGGACGGTGGAGGCAGAATCACCGACCTCAAGATGAGTTTTTTTTAAAAAAATTTTGAATGTACGTTTAATATCATTATTAAAAAACTACAATATTTAATATTATTAATATATCAGATTTCATAATATATTTTAATTTTATTAATAATTCCAAAAGATACTATTATTATTGGATTTTAAATTATTGAAAGGGAGAAGAAAAAATTATTAAATAATTTCACATTTTAAGTCTTTATGAATTTTTTAAAAATAAAATTAATAATTTTATTTGATTAAAAAATATATATAACGTTATGAGATTAGTTCTTTTTATAAAAAAATCAAGAAAAATCATTTACCGCTTAATAATTACTTCCCTTATTATTTATTTAAAAAATTCATATATTTTTAACATTCAAAACAACAAAAGTTATTATTTTTAATTTTTTATCCTTGCTTAATATTTTACATGTATTATAAACGGAAAATATAATAAATTTCATATTTAAAATAAAAATTTTAATTATACGTTTAAATTTTAAAATTATCTCGTAAAATAGGGAAAGAAATGGAAATCCGGGATGTATTTATTGTAAGAAAATTGGAAAAGAAAATGACATAATCTTTAAGCAGAAGCAAGAACTGTTTAATTGCAACGTGGTGGAGGTGTCGGTGAACGAGTGTTAAAAGAGTAAATAACGTGAAAACCAGTGGCGAAAAGCAACCTCTCAAATCCCTCCAACTCCAACGCATCGTTGCATTATAATCATTTCCCGCGACTTTGTTTTTCGCATTTTCCACTCCTTTTCTCTCTCTGTCACCGTAACAACTTTCTTTTCCCCGCAATAACTAAACTTCAATTCAATCCATTTCAATCCATTTCACAGCGCAAATATTAGTACCAAAACCGTATACTAATAACCATACGAATGCAACACACACAGCACGCACTGTCTTTGCGACTGTGACTGTATCGGCGGCGAAGCTTCAGATTTGGTGCCGATTCGATCGGAGTAAGAGGCGAATGGAATTCGGAAGATGAAGTTCTATGTATCTTCCAAGGGGATAAAGAGAGTCGTAACGCTATCCAAAGACGCCGGAAAAGGATCCGGAAAGAGAGGAGCTGCTGCCGACGCCGTTGTCGGTCGCCGGATTTCTAACCGGACGGTGCTGGCGCTTGGCGTCGTGTTGCTTCTCGCTTTTGTAAGAGTGGCGGTTTTGATGCTGGAATCTTCTGTGGTTTGCTCCACCTTCGGTATTAATATTCCGATTACTTTATACTTTCTGCTCCTATTAATATTTTTATTTATTTATTTTCTTTTTACTGTTAGCTGTTTCGTATTACACAGTTCGTTGAGTAAAAACATTGGAATTGAATTTGGTTACACTGGAACAAGTACATATGAATTTCAGTGTACTGTGAAGTACCGAATGGCGAATGTATAAAAGAAGTTACCAACCAGATAGAGATAGTAATACCACGGCCTGCATTAATATTTATATTTATTTGTTTTTTTTATATCTATAAAGAGATTTAAAATCATTAAAAACATATTTCGCTTTTAAATGAGTTATATTATTTTTATAACAAATTTCTATAATAATAATAATAATTTGTATTATATCTTTTCATGATATTATCCATTTGATTACCTTTTAATTTTTTTATTTCTCTCCAAGTTTTTTTTAATATTACTTTTTTAATTGTATGAATAACATTTCTCCTCTTAAATCATCCTTTAATTGCGCTCATCTTTGTTTTGGAAATTGACGACAGCATCTATGAACATGATTGTTGCAGATTGCGTGGGATCGATGTTTTTCAGCCGGGATGACGCCAATCTGGTATAGATGTGCTCCAGCTCCAATTATAAAAAGACAAAATTTAGATATAAAATTTTAAAAATATTAATCTCTATTACACATAATCAATAATCATAATTTTTTATTTTTAAATATTTATTATATTTTAACATAGTAATTATTTATTTTAATACAAAATTATTACCTTTTAATATTTATCTTTAATTCTAAAGATTAAAATTAAAAAACAATACTGAAATTATTTTTAATGTGTAAAATACACATAATAAAAAATAATATTTTTTAATTAAAAATTGCAACATTTAATTGTGTGTCTCTCTCTCTATATATATATATATATATTTCATGCTTGTTAATCTTATCCTCTATAATTTTTTTCTTATTAATTAAATCCTTGTTTTTTATATATTTTTTATACAGGTAATTGTTGAAAAGAAATATAAATTTTAAAAAACAACTATATTTTTTTCTTTATATAAAAATTAGATATTTTAATACTATTTTTTTTAATAAAATTTAAAGAATTAGACAAAAGGCATTTTCATAGTTCGGTACTTTTTAGGCTTTATCTATTGTACGGTATGTATACGCCACCTTCTCTCTTAATTAATGAATTCCACCTTTCTAAGCGTATATTTCTAACACCGGAAACATATTTTTGAACATATCTTTTTTTATATACTTTTAATTATTAATTAAAAATTAAAAAATTATGAGAAAATAATAATAATTTAAGAGTAACTTTTTTAATAAATTTAATGTAAGGATATTACTACTCTTCCTTTATTCACAGATACAAAATCACACTTATAATAAAGTTATCGCCAAACCAAATAATATCAAAGCGACTAAAACGAAATTCCAGCGATAACACAAGCAGGCTAAACATCGTTCAATATTTATTTGCATAGTAATTAATTCTTCAGGGAAAAATAATTTCTTTTAACGACTTCATATTAATTATCTATTGACATACATATTGATTCAAGTTGTATCTTCTATCTTATCATTTTTTTTTTGTCATCATTATGATGATGCATTTATCTTTGTTAGGTCAATGTATTGTCTCGTACATTAACCTAGTCATAAATATACTAAAGATGCTTAAACAATTTGGTACACTAAAGCACATAAATGGTTTAATCTATGACTTAGTAAGGAGGTTTTATAGTAGAAAGAAAATCTATGCAAAAATTAATGAGATTTATTTTTAAAACTTTATCATCTTTTGCTTCATCCTTTTTTACGGTGGTACTGTATATATGTATTTGCATGAAGAAACTCAGAGACGAGCTGACCAGAGCGCTAATAGAGGCAAATGATGGCAATGCTAATGAAGGAGGAGCAGAGTCATTTAACGAGCTTGTGAAAGTGTTGGGGTCAAAACAAGACCTTAAGGCATTTGCGTTTAAGACCAAAGCCATGGTACACAAAACAATTACTGTTTTACCATGTTAGGTTTAGCTAGTTACCCTTACAATATGATGCTTTTGTTAATCTTCCCTTGTGATTATTGTTCGGTTCCCTTTGGTGTTAGGTTACAATCAAGCTGGACATAGTGACAATAGGTGTAGCTTTGAACATTAAACTTCAAATTAACTTTGTTCGCAAATGCAGTCTGACATTATCTAAGAAGTTAGTTTCATTGTTTGGAACAATTCAAATTCAAGTAACTACTTGTGATTTCAATATATTTCATAATTTTTCGATGAACAGGTAGTTTGCCACTTTGACAAGAGTTGGAACTAAAAATAAGCAAACAGATCTACGATAGTTTTGTGGAAAATTTCGATATAATTTCTGTAGTACTCAAGCATTTGTAATTTTATATCGAATGTGTTAAGAAAACTTACGGATATGTAAGCTATATATGTGTAAACTGGCATTATGAGGAGAGTGGAAGGGTAGCATCATAATCAATGTGTCTCTCTGTATGAGGTATTCCGCCATTGAATTGTTCGATCATCATATAAACAGAGTTTGTAAAGTTATAGTCATGTCATCTCATGTTCATATGCAGCTGTCGCAGATGGAACGTGAAGTGCAATCAGCTAGAAATCAGGAGTCAGTTAATTGGCATCTTGCTTCACATGGTGTTCCCAAAAGTCTGCACTGTCTTTGTTTGAAGTTGGCTGAAGAATATGCTGTAAATGCCATAGCCCGATCTCGTTTACCTGCTCCTGAATATGTATCTCGCCTTGTTGACCCTACATTTCACCACATTGTTCTCCTAACTGACAACGTACTTGCAGCTTCTGTTGTTTTAACCTCTACTGTTGAAAATTCAGCCAAGCCTGAAAGATTAGTTTTTCACGTTGTTACCGACAAGAAAACTTATACTCCAATGCATACCTGGTTTGCCATCAACTCTATTAGATCAGCAGTTGTTGAAGTTAGGGGGTTACACCACTATGACTGGTCTAAAGAAGTGAATGCTGGTGTTAAAGAGCTGCTGGAAGCTAATCATTTAATTTGGAAGCACTGCTACAACAACTACAAAGAAAAAAACGTCGACTATAGTGAGGAGCATAAGAGATATTTGGAAGCTTTAAGACCCAGCAGCCTTTCCTTGTTGAATCACCTCCGCGTCTATATCCCTGAGGTAACTATTAGTTTGTTTTTTCAAATGTGCTCTTGATTCTTGCGAACATGACTTGACTTGGTTTTGATCTTTCAATTATTTTTGTTTTGTTACATTTAGCCACACCATATTCAATGTCACATTTAATAGTCGCTGCTGATGGGGTGATATTATTAACATCATTATTAAGTGTGACGATAATATTTTAAAAAATAATTTTTTAAAAATCATAATTGGATAAAAAAATTATTATGATTAAAAAAAGGAAATCTGTTTATAAAAAATAAAAAATTATTTAAACCTCTTTTTAGGTCGCCTGGCCTCTGATTTAGTAATAACACAAGACGCGTGCTCAGTGATGATACATGATTGTTTCATAATCTGATTTTTGTGGACCACCACAGCTGTTTCCAGATCTCAACAAGGTAGTATTGCTGGATGATGATGTTGTCGTACAGCATGACATATCTTCTTTGTGGGAAATAGATCTTAATGGCAAAGCCGTTGGTTCGGTGTTCAAGTCATGGTGTCAGAACAGCTGCTGTCCTGGAAGTAAATACCACGACCTCTTTAACTTTTCACATCCTATCATATCATCCAACATTGACGGTGATAAGTGTGCATGGCTCTATGGCATGAACATATTTGATCTTGAAGCTTGGAGGAGATCAAATATTACTGAGACCTATCATCAGTGGTTGAAACTTGTAAGTATATGCTGACAGAATTTGGGCTTAGTTTGTTTTATACACGAAACGGAGGTTATGCATTTGAACGCAAAACTCAGTTTTTGCGAAGCAAATAAATTGCTTTCTCAAACTCCGTTGTAAACGGAGATCCAAAAATCTAGTACGTTTCGACTAGTTTCCATAATCAAAATGGAATTAGCAAGATCATGTCGAATTTCACATTTTTACTTTTAAGGGTGTCTCAATATTGATGAACAAGAATTTGAAATGTTCATATCTTCTCTGAGAAGTGTCAAGCAAGCAGTAGTAGGTTTCGAGCGCGGATTTCTTTACCTTTATTTTATTGCTGAACTGCTCAGTGTTTCTAAGCTATACAGTAGAAATGCAAATTTATTTAAATCTTTCAAGTCTGCGTAATGCTTGGTATTTACCCCGCCAACAAGAAAAAAGATGAAGAAGGAAAAATATTGTCGGTATATTCGATTATTTATCTTTGATGGTGCTGTTTCTGTTTATTGATAATGATATTAACTGTACATTTATCTGATTTAATTTGACACAGAACGTCAAGTCTGGGTTGGCATTCTGGAATCCTGGAGTACTCCCACCTGCCTTGATTGCTTTTGAGGGTCAAGTGCAACCCATAAATTCATCATGGCTTGCGACTGATTTAGGTTATCGCCATCGATCAGAAGAAATTATCAATAGCATAGAAAGACTGGAAGCTGCTGCTGTTGTTCACTTCAATGGCCCAGCAAAGCCATGGCTTGAAATCGGTTCACCAGAGCTTCGAAGCTTATGGAACAGATATGTAAATTTCTCCGATAAGTTTATTAGGAAATGTAGGATTGTAGTGTGAAGAGACGAAGTTATCCCACCTCCAGCGTTCATATTGACATTGAACCAACCGTACCGTATGGGATCAGAGGGAAGAAGGTTTTGCCTTCAGTCTATGACTCATGCGCTTTACACATTAATGTATCACTCCATGTCCATATAAATAGCAAATTGATGAAGTTACCATACACTACCCTGTTAGAAGAAGCAGTGGTAGCAGTTTTAAGAAAGAAGATACAAGCATCATAATCTTGTAGTTTAACATTACTGTAAATTATTTGTTTTTCAAAATGGAGATATTGTTTTCCTTGAGTAGCGTTTGTATATATCTTGTTAAATCCTTGTGTGAATTCAATTTTATGATTACATATTTCTCAACTCTCGTCAAATTAAAAACTAGTAATAAAATCATTGACCAATAAACCCTGCATCTTGATTTAATTAATCTCTTTGGTCTTTTATTAGCTAATTCTTGGGACAATAAAGAGTTCTGACGTACGTTTTCACATGACTGTCCCCTGCAAAACCCAGTCCTTTTTAACGAGACTATATTTCAGTCTCTTCTGATTCTTCTCACAGACACACTATCAACTATTTATATTTGTTTATTGTGAACTCCTGAGCTCCTTTTGGAACAAGAAACAGTACGGTAAAATTAAGATTGATCAAGCATTCGAAAACCTATAATTAAAATATTTCTTCTTTGTGTATGTTATGTGGAGCTAGAGTCCCAAAGAAATAATATATGGATTACGGTACGCTTTTTCTTGGACTTCGCTTCTGTCGGTTTGAGTATATTAAAGTTTGTCTGTCTCTACGATATGAACCTCTGTTGACAGTTTTTTTTTTCCCTTCCTTTTTTGTGGAGAAAATACCGTTTCTATAACTTAGAAATCCCCCAATTCCTATTCTAACATGCAAACAAACAAGCTCTATATACATCATTTGACCCTTCTGACCAGTTATTCAATTAAATAAAAATTTAGAAAATGAGAATTGTATCTTGAGAGAAATAAAAATAGATAGAAAATATAGTGTAATTGAAAGAAAGATAAAAAAAAAGAGATAAAAGGGAAAGAAAAATAATTGTATAGATATAATGGTTTTCGAAATGAAAATTAATTCATAAACATTTTTTGGGCGTATACACGTAAAGAGAAGTGTAATAAATGATATGGTGTGAAAGAAAGAGAAAGATTAGGAATATTATGAGTATTGAGGTAAGTAAGAATTGACTCAAAATAGGATTTTTTATAATGCCCTGCAACATCAAACTTTTAAATGATCAGTGATCATGCAAACCTTTCAAGAGTGGCAAAAGAAATTTCACATTTGATTGGTACAATTGCCCTATGTTTCCAGGCCCTAAACTAAAGAACTTATTACGAAGGACAAGCTAGACTATATATGCCTTAAAAAATGTTCCAATGTCCCGGCCAAGCATACCCCATTGATATTAATTTCAGGAATCGAGAACAAAAGCGAAGATGCCGAATCTGTTTTCGAGCCCTCGAATTGGGTATGCAATTCTGAACAGTTTGACAATAAGCACCCATTGATTTTAACCTCCTCTCTTTGCTGTCCAACTTAAAAAGGTTTAAGCTTGAGTTCTTCAAAACTCGTTTAACTTTTCCCTAGCAAGGATAGAATGATTGATGGCATATGAAATAATAATATTTGCAATTGTTGATGGCTTTTGAATTTTCAGAATTGATTAGGGTAAAGAGAATGGAGAAATTTATCTACGATGAATAACGCCGACGCCCCAAACATTTTCACATTTACTCCTCGTTAATTGCTCATAATTATATTTAAACAGCCATTTTATAACATAATATTAGGCCCAACCAAACATACACATACATGCTATGAGTGAATAGAAACTATATTCGAAGATACATAAACAGTATCCTGTGAAGTAATGGTACAAATGCTGGTTCTAGCTTTCTCTTGTTCTCAGTTGACAGAACTTTAGCAGAGGAAATTCCAATGGCACTCACACCACTTGCAACTAGCTATTCAGATAGATGAAACAATATAAATGCTGTGGCATAATTTCCCGTGGTTTTCCACCTATTCAGCTACATCAAAAAGTGAGAAAATATCAGAATGGTTAATAAAATACCATAATCATGCATGAACAATATTAGGGCACAGAGAAGCATATTGTTAATTGCATTGTACAGCAAAAACACGAGAAATGGTAACTAATTTCCCCATTTTATTTCTCCAACTTTTTGCCTAATGATTTAAGTTTAAGCCTTTGAGACGCGTTAAAATATTCCTCGTGAGTATGATTAAATTTACGTGATTTTTTGTCCTTCAAACACCTTATATAATGGATTGCATATAAAGGATTAGTACAATGTTGAACTCAATTATTTATTAAATTGGTTTTTGCACTGGGCATTGCCTTCCCTCCTTGATTTTGTTATCGTCGTGATCAATGAACTAATTAAAAGGGTATTCAATAACAACAATTTGTTAACATATTGGTAAATGAATATTGTGCTTACACAAGTTGTAGAGCAGTCTGGTCTTGGCGTGAATAATGATGATTGGAATCTATGAGATTTACAGGGAAGAAATTCCTGTCATATGACTGTGAAGGTATGGACTCGCACACATTTCCCGGCATCAAATTCGGCTGTTGTTGTGGTTGCTGCTGTGCTCTCTCGTGTTCAGCTATCTGCATCACCCCCACCAACTTTTTTTTATCATTCATTTCACTCAATTATTTTAGACACGTAGATTACATACATTCATTTGGAGGGAATGAAAGAGACCTTAGCTCGCAGAAAATTATTATGGTTTTGCAGCTCTATTTCCTGCATATTTCCAGTAAATATAAATGTGCATGTCAGAAAAGATATAAATATCATGCATATATTTGGTAGAGTTTATGAATTTATGTTCGGTAATTCGTAATTATTCTCATTTTCTATGAAAGATTGAGTATATAAAATAACAATTTTTACATTCATTCAGGTAAAGAGAAACCCCAAGTATGCCTTCTATATAAGTTTTATTATGTAGAAGAACATCCAAATATTAATCTTTATATACCAACAACAATGATTAGTACCCAAGTTCCCCCAAAACAAGAGTGATTTATACCGAAAAGTTACTGAAGCCACTACATACATATATAATTGCTATTTTATTCCAAAATTTGCCACTTCTAGAGTGAAAGTCTTATTCGGATTCTGAGTTTATTATTTCCTATTCAACATTGCAGTTCCATTATTCTAGTTAAATATTGAAATTTAGTGAGGTTTGGGACTTCCTGAAACGTCACAATTAAAAAAAATACAAGAATTACACAATCATTTTCAATACATTGACTTAATGATATATTTTCTTTAGCTGTTATGCTATGTGTGTGTGTAGAAAACAAGTACAGAAGAAATTTAACATTGAAGGAAAAACGAAGGTCTTACCCGCTTTTGCATGAACTCGATATCGGCAAACAGTGTTTCGTGCTGGCAGAATTTGAGTTCGTACGTCAGTTCAAAGAAATATAAATATTATAACTTGGAAGAGTAAAATAACGCATATTTTCCAAAGACTAGGCAAGCCTTTTTTTCTTTTTTTTCAAAAATATTGACTTAAATAATCTTAATTACTTGTTTTTAATTAGCTTCTTGTACATTTATGTAAATGCATAATGCATGTTTGGGCTTACGGTGGAAACCACCCAGACATGTGACATGTTTTATTATATAGACACTTGTGATGCCCACAAATGTCACATACTATAAACGTCTTTTGATACCTTTCTGGATCTAACTCTGCTTAAACCTTTCTCCAATCTACTTTCAAGATTCTTTAGTTCTTTTAGACTCAGAGAGCTAAGAGCTTCACCAAGGATATGCCTGGAAATTAAAAGCAAAGTTCATTGTTTTCATTCAAATTCAATGAAAAGTGTGTGTTGAAAAATATTAGAGAGGAAACTGACCTGTTTAGATTCTGAATGTCTCTGATTTGTCTTTTTAATTTGGATGATTCCTGCTGATAAAACTGATCATATTGATAAATAGTGTTAATTTATATTTATAGGTAGTTAGAGATAATTTTTGTTTGAAAATATGTTGAAAAACAAGACGGAACGCAAAAGAAGAGAGAACTTGAGAGAATCACTAAATAGAACTAGAGTATACAAAATGAGCTATATTTTGGTTTATATAAATGGAAGAGAGACTAAAACTAGTGATTCTAACTATAATTATTTCCAATTTATTGTATATAGTCTTGCATGTAACTCATCACACGCCTTAGAACCAAATTACGTACATAGTATTGGTAAAATTGTCCCTCGTCAGTTGAACTCGTAAGTATCAAATTTAGTGCTTTCCACTTCAATCTTTTGACTCATTACCAATGCTCTCATTATTATCCGTAAACTTGATCAGGAAAGCATAATAATAATAATAATAATAATAATAAGTGTAAAATTCTTTTATATTTAAATATCCAAATACCCAACCATTTCAATCCAACTTATTTTTAGTTGAGTTGGTTCTGTTCGAGTTATATAATAAAAAAATTGTTAAATCTAAACTAATCTAATATACTTTATTTTAATTAATTTGAATATGTTTTTAAATTCAACCAAACTCCACTTGTGTAGGCTTGATTAATATATTAATTTCCTCTTGATCTTAATATCTACATGGATCTAACAAATATGTTTCCCCTAATATCTCTTTCTCATAAAGGGGTCAACAGGTCAAGAGAAAATTAATAACTTTAAATGTATTCAGTATTGTCGTTGATGCTTTTATATGTAAATGGGTTGGGTTATCCTTGCAATCCATTTATATTTTCTCTTTTGTTGTTTACAAAAAGAGAATTATATGTCATCCACTCCCAAAAATTTGTCTAAGGTTATGCAGTGGCTCTCCAGTTGCAACTATTCACATACAATTTAAGTGTCGGAATGCTTATACTTAATGAGGAATATTCTATGTGAATTAAAATGATATTTAGGGATAACATGCGAACTTAATACTAAATCATGGGTAGAAGATATACGCAATATCGTCCTTTTATCATCAGCACATCATAAAAAAACAGAAATATGACCATAACAGTTTTCCAATCTGCTAGCTTGCCTGAAAAATAGTTTAATAGTTAAGCTACACAGAGGATTCTTATAGTTTTGAGATGATTATAGCTTGAAACTATACATTAAATCTCCATGAAGATATTGTATAAAAATATGCTGCAATTTTAAAGCAAGATGCATTAATTCTGAGCCAAATTAACCAAACTAGAGCATTTTCTTCTACCATTTATCTTCGATTTTTTTAGCTGACTAAATTTACCTGTGTATTAGCCTCGGATACAGATTCTGCATTTGAGGAAGCAGCACATGCTTTCTTGTACCTTTCGATAGTTCCTCTAACACTGCAAAACAATACAGGCTATGCTTAGAGGAATATGAAAATGTGATCGAGTCATAATATTTTTACTAGAAGAGATAAACGGTGACTCAATCTGTATTTTTACGAATCCTAATTACAAACTCATCGATCTTTGACATTGAAATTTTAAGTCAAAAAGTTGAGTTTGAAATTACAAATGCGTAATCTTGCACAGGAACCAGTTTTTTGTGAAAAATTTTGTTCAGAAAAAAATTGCATGAAAAATTTTTTAATATGAAAAGAGAAAGCACAAGATTTTCAACTGTACTCTTATCATTATTACTCTTTATATGTAAATAGCCATTTCATAAACTAAATATATAGCAGGGTAAGTACTAAGATCTCTCAACCTTAATATTGTCGAGGCCCTGATTGGTTGTCCTTGCCAAGCTGGCACAAGATCCCAAAACGTCATTGGCTCCACTATCACAACTATCTCTTCGTTCATACATCGTGTTACTTTCCCGTTACTCATTGTGTAAAAACCACGATAATAACTAATAAATTTTTTTGTACCCACTACCTTGATTATGGCAAAACCCTTTCAATTTAATATACTGTCCTTGTATTTTTGCTTTTAACGAATGTCTTTAAATATAATAATAACCAGTGAATATGATTCTGGGAAATTAATGGATGCCATCCCAATGCATATAAATAGCTCAGAAAACTCTTTTCTATGCTACCCTTCTTCTGCTATACCCTCTCCGATTTTTTCTAAGAACCCAAAAAAGTTCAAGTTGAATATGTATACTTTTATGATGAAAGTTTCATTCTTTGAATCCTAAAGAATGTTAAACCCCTCGATATGTTAGCTTCTTTAAAGTTCAAACACAGGTTGGCATGTCCATATCTGATTAATACAGTATGCATATGAAGAGGTCGATATTGAATCAATGGATGAAAGTTTATATTTCCTTTAACTGAAATGTCCAAAACACATAATTGAGAGTAGGTTGAGAATTGACGTCAGGAATGAGAAGCTTTAGTGAAAGCAATAAAAATAGAGCCTTTAGCTATTCTTAGAATCTGGCTTCATCATTTTGCTTTAGCAACTTAGGGTAAAGAAATCTTCTATACTAGAATTTTCGAAATATAAGAGATGGGGGGAAATGAGCAAAATAATTAAAAATGATAAATGAATTGAAGTGGATGAATTGTAAACAGTACCTATGTCCTTACTGAAAAACCACGAAATCATGTGTATGGTAACTCAGGTGGGCATTTGGATTGCTTTACTTTTAAGAAAAATTTTCTCTTAAATATCTTTTCAGGAGAAATTATAAAAAAAATATTTTCTCATAAAAAGATGTTTCTTTATACATCCTAAAAAAATGTCTTATTGTTAATAGAAAAAAAAAATTTAAAAGATTAATAATCAAAATCTTACAAATTTTCTCTCTTTGCATTCAATTCTTTTCTTTCTTTCTTTCTTTTTTTAATTGCGGGACAACTTAAAGAATTAATTATATATATATTTTTTACATAATATGCATGAGATTTTGATTTTTTTTTTCATTTTTAGGAGTTAATTAAGTCTATCTACTTTTACATTTTTTTCAAATTTATTTTATTTTATTTATTTATCTAAAGCACTCTAATTTTTATTTTATATTTAAAATTTTACTACATTAAATTATTAAAATATTCCTTTCTTCAAAACATCATATTTTAGTCAAAACAAAAAAATTATAAATTTTAATTCTTTAAACTCTAATCTCACATATTAAAAAAACTCAAAATTGTGTTTCTTAAAACTTTAATTCTGCATATTTAAAAAAAATAAATTTCATCAAAATTTCACTAAATTTTTCACCTTTAAACATTCAAAATCATTTTATATAATAAATTTATCATTAATCACTTAAATATTTAGAAAAATAATAATAACCAAAATCACAAGTAAATTATTAATATTCCTGTAATACATATTCTCTTGTAGTTACGTTTTTTATTTATACATTTTTCTTTATTTTTAATTTAAAAATTTTAAATTATGAAAAAACTAATCATGCATGAGTGTGTATTGTTATTAAAGGAAATGAATACGTACTTTAGGAAGTCTAAATTTTTTTCTAAAATCATCCATAAGTCAAGCCTAATAGACTAAAATATAATTGAACCCAACATAAATTTGTAATCTTTATTCAATTGATTTTTGTTTTACCTAATAAATTCAAGTTACACAAAGGTAAAATAATCAAATAATTTGTTAATATATCAAAATGCCTCCGCCAGAATTTTCTTGTAGAGACATGAGTTATGGGCATCACTATGCTGGGAAACCCTAACCACTGAATGCTTTCCTTCATGATGTAAAGGACAATTTACGAAAATGGGATCAAATTTGGACATCCAGGAAACTGTAGAAAACGTATTAGTGGTTTTTTTTTTTATCAGCAGAAAAAGTATTAGTTTAAATTGATTTACTTATTAAATTAGTTTATAACGAAAACTTCAGTAAGAATTTAAGAAAAAAAATTTAAACTTAACACAAAAAGGAGGGTTTTGAAATACGAAACATGCACTTAATTACAAACAAATGAAACAATTAATCCTGCGAAAAATCTGTTGCAAATTTAAAGAAAACTGTATCCAATGAGTCGGAAACCCTAAAATCTGATTTGATTGGCATCTTCTTCAGAATCTCATTGTACGGAGATAGCCAATAAACAGTTTTAAAAAGTCTCTCTCCCAACAAAAACCTCTCTTGAAAAGGCCTTTTTAGTTAGAAGACAACACTTATTTGCAGTTTTTGCACTACCCTATAGCTATAATCAATTTTCCCTTGTGTGTAAATATGTAAAAAAGAATTGAACTGATTCAGGTGTGACTAAATAGCGAAAAAAGTCTGAAACCCTAGCTCCTAATTAATTGGACTACCTGCTTGTGATTGTGTTGTGTCACTATTATTTTGTTCAGTTGACAAATAAGTACTAAGTAGAATTAAGGAAGAGTCTATTAAGATAGAATAGAAGGCAGGGATTCATTGAGTGCGTGACAGCTTTGTGTAGCAGACCCTTTTAAGATTTGATGGTTGACATGTGGAGAGAGAAAAATAAAGAGAGAGAAAGATGATTTAGTAAAGCTTAACAGCATGAGGGAATATACACAAGGAAGCTAAGATCTCTGACCTGCAAATCTTTGTAACCCTAGACAAACCTTGCTAACTACGTGCTACTTCATATTGTTTCACCTTAACGTCTAGTTCTTTTGAGAAGACAAACAAAGATCATATAGTAAAAACAATAAAAAATAACAACAAAGAAATTAAATAAAAGACAAGGGTTCTGGGACAAAGGAAAATAACAACTTCAAAATATCACCTTATGTTATATATAGTGCATATTAATTTAGAGATATGAAATGAGATTGAAAGAGAGGAATGGTATATATGTTATAAATGTTGAGAAACCTGTTGTTGGCATACTCATAGAGACGGCCACGGCTTGAGAAGACAACAAGAGCAACTTCAGCATCGCACAAAACAGACAATTCATAAGCTTTCTTGAGCAACCCGTTGCGGCGCTTGCAGAAGGTAACTTGCCTATTCGTTGTGTTCTCGATCCGTTTGATTTCTATTTTCCCTCTTCCCGTTTTCTTCTGAGAAGACCCTTCTGATATTGCTTGGTTTGGAAACTCCATGAGTTGATGGAAGCTAGCTAGCTTGCTAAAAATAATAATTAGAAGAAACCAAAGTAGTTAATATCGATGTGATTTCAAGGACGAATGAAATTAATAAGCAGAAACAAAGAAGAAGCTTTCAAAAAATTGGTTCATTATGCAAAATGAGATTTCTTTGATCTTGATGATTTTGACATACTAGCTAGCTCTATAAGCTATATATATTATATATATAAGCTTGTCCCTAACATGAAAATAATAATCAAAGACAGAAGAGAAAGAAACAAGGGTTTTGTGTGTAGGTTGTACCTTTGCAATGAGGACTATTTAGAGTTGTTTGGTGTTATCCTGCGACTGAGGAGAAAGGGTTGCAAAATATGGAAGTGGGTTGGACCATGAGACAGGTATTTATGGACGGAAAATAGACCCTTCAACTATTACCCAACTCTTTCTCTCTCTCAGTACTGAAAACAACATAACTCGTTGTGTAATGTTTGGAGAATAAAAGAAAAAGGGAGAGAAAGAAGGACTTGGGATTCACTTTTCAACTTTGGTGCTCTATAAACCGTTCATTTCTTTCATGTATGGGAAAAAGGCAAGGGAGACAATGAAAATGTCTTTTTGAAAGTGACTTTGTTAATGTGGGGTTTGATTCAATTCCAATGAGAGGGACGGGAAGATAAGCTTGCACGCAAAAACTTGGAAAGCTTGAAATTTTGAGGCATAGCTGCAGGGTTGCTTCTTGGATTTTGAGTTTTGCCCATTTACCTATGTAGAATCTAGTTTTGTTCCCTTCACTTTTCTCTCGTGGTTGAAACCTAATTACTTCTCATAATATTAACGTTTTTTTTAATCTCTTTCTCTCCTATCATACCATATTACTTCTCTCTTTTTATCTATCGGTTTCTTGGTGTTTGCACTACAAACATTTTCGTTTTTAAGGCTCACTCACCACACTCACTTGCATTCTTTGAATTTTGGACAAATTATACCTACATCTGGTGAGGTGAGGGCTGAGGATTAACGATATTACATTTGATATCTCAGTCTTTTAACATTTTCTTCGATCCATTTATTTTAATAACATAATACCAATGTAATATTATTAAAGCGGTGTGAGTGTAATTTACTTTTAATTTTTTTATTGCAGAATTTTACCAAGTTTTATGCCGTCCTTGCATAGACTTCCCATGTGACGTCGTAATCATAATCTTAATTCTTCAGTTACTAACTTGTCTTTTGGTGATGGGAAAGTCAGTCTGTATTTTCAGTTGCAATTTTTTTTCTTCTTGCCTTTTCTGTACTCCATTTATGTTGATGACTTGCATAATCCTTAAATAATTTTATAAATGGAATTAGTTCAAGTGGTGTTTAGATAAATTTTTTAATGTGAAATGTTGTATTTAAATCTTTTATATATATATATATATATATATATATTATAGATAAAATATATATTATTAGAGAGTTTAAAGAGAACTCAAAATTTATATATATATATATATATATATATTTATTTATTTATTTATTAGATAGTTAGTCTCTCAATATAGTTTATACCCTTGTATGAATTAGGTTAATAAAATGCTAGGATAAAAATGGTGTGACCTCACGCTTACGTAGTTATGTGTCCATATATATAACCATATTTCCATCAGGGTAAAAAAATTGTTGATGTAACCGTTGCATTTTTCTTCTTTTTTTAAGAGCTTACGTGAATAATTGTGAGACTACTCTGTTAGATTAAGTTGATTTGAATTTGTCATTTATTTTCACTGAAGTAAACACTATTAAATATATTGGTTGATGTAACCGTTGTTTAAAAGTAAATTAAATAATGTAAGTTTTACAAGGGTACTTGTCTTAATAAATTTTTAAGTTAATTAATTGCAGAAAATTGTAATTTCGTAACACTGTTTCTTTGAGTTTTAGTAACCCGTTTAACTCCTGTTAAATTCAAATATATATAAATGAACAGTTTAGTATGCCTACATGTGTAATAATGGATAGAAATTCATATAAATAATAACAATATTATCAAAAGATAGAATCGAAATTTACACTAGCAGCAAAATTGAACTATTTAACTATGCTTAAAATCCTTCTTGATTTCATTTTTTCATATGGTTTAGATGAACTGTAATCATGCATGAGTCGTTTATTAGAACTATTTGATCTATCCTTTTAGACAGTTCATTTTTCATGTGAAAAATCTTTACTCTCACTTAAAAACCTAATAAACTGTTGCATTTGATGTTTGATATGTAGATCCAATTTATCAAAGATGCAATAGACAAAACCTACAATAATATCGGTCCAATTTTAGTGAATTAATTTGTCAATAAACTCTTATAAATTTTTTTCTAATATTAATATTTAAAGTTAGTAACCAGAATAAAAATAGATAGATAAGTTATATATATATATATTCTTAATTGTTTATTGAGCTATAATAATAAATTAATTTATCATGTTACTTATTCTATTATATTAGACTAGTGTAATTGTTATCTTAATAATATGAATAGATTAAGAGAGGAAGAAATGATAACAATTATTTTTTAAAAAATATATTTAATTTATTTTATTACATCGTTATTTTTATATATTTTTAAAAAATATGTTAAAAATTTAAAATATATTAAATAATTTATATATTTTCTATAAATTAAAAATAAATAATTTATAAAAATTTAAAATTTAATTTCATAAATATAGAAAAAGAATAATTTTTTTTTTTTACATATTTATATTATTTATTTTTTTTATTAAACTTAGATCAAATATTAAATATGATAAAAATTTATTATATTTTTATCAAATTTTACTCTTATTCAACTCTCGTATTTTATTACTTTGGATTTTCTCCGCCATCAAATATGTGTTAGGAACTCAGATCATCCCTACGTATCTCCAGTCAGAAACTTGATAGTTCATTACACTCTCTTTCTTTATCGATTGCTGTACAACAATAAACTTGTATGGCTAAAATTCTGCAAGATGGTGGCGGAGAAACTCCAAAGTGATGTGTTTGTTAAGATGAAGGATATTCAAAATAAACATGTTTTTCTTTGTTTCTGATGTAAAGAAAGACGTGATCAAATTACTAAAAACTTATGACCATTTAAATGAGCAACATGATAGATATTATGTTATTCCGTTTTCTAATCCTGGTTTAGAAATAATCACATCTCCATTTTTTCTGATATATTAAAGAATTTATGTTCCCATTTGCAACTTGCAATGACCGGGGCATATTTTACAAGCTAAAATACTTCAATGAACTCAAGAAACTAATTTTGCAAATGAAGTTGCTCAATTTTTCATAACATATCCGTACATGCAAATATTTAATAGAATAACTGTGAATGCTAAAACCATACCTTAGACACTTTTAATTATTGTTTTTTTGTTTAAATAGAAGCAATTTTATTTGAGATACGCGATAAAGCTTTTTATTTGAGTATTTAATATAATAATATTAATTAAAACTTAAATTTAGAATTATAAATCAAATTAAAACAATCTACTACTAATTAATTCAGGTATTTGATAGTCAGTTCTTAATTATTGTTTAAGATTTAATAAAAATTTTAAAAGTATGAAACAATATTATTAAATCAAAAGTAGAAAAAAGTGTGATCCGTATTATTTTTATATTTTTTAATCAATTTTGACCAATAACTAAGATGATGTTAAAAAGAGTGTGTTAAAAATTGTATTATTAATATTTTTTAAAAATGATTGACACACCAATGAAATAAATTATATTTGAACATTTCAGGAAAAAAAAAAATCATTAGGTAGAACTCCCTGGATTTAGATGAGTGTTACCCAAATGCTTATCACCTCAGTCTATTGGTGTCTCATGTGATGTTATTATAATCAGATCTTCATTCACTGGATCACGAATTAAAAAAAAAGAAGAAAAGTTAGGACAATCTTTGGGAAGGGTTTCTGTTTCAGATTTAAAATGCCATGGCCAGTAAAGAAAATTAGAGAGCTAATGGAAAAATGTAGCTTCTATAACATAAGCACACCGTCAAGATAATGATATAGGTTATCTATCTCTACTTCCCTTTGAATGCTAATTAAAAAGGTTGCTCAAAGAAAATTTGTTTGCCCAAAGACAATATGCACAATGATAATAATCCTCAACTTTTCTTCTGTCTGGAATTTTGCATGCTGCCATCCACAGGTTTTAAGCATTAGATGAAATGATTCATCATTTTTTTTCCTTGGTAAGAGACACGAGATCTGTCTCAATTCCTCCTTACTTATTTACTTTTACAAAAGCAATGAGTTATTTTAGATAGCAAATATTTGAACATTGAAGTGCATGTTTGAAAATTTTAACAAAATCACATTTTAATATAAAAGTTATAATTTAAGTATATGTTTGAATATATATATATATATATATATATATATATTTATCATTATATGCACGTCTATTTATGCGCTTTCAAGACCAGTTTTTACGTTTTCTTAACACAAGTATAATGAGTTTCAAGCATGCTATTACAGTGTTGAAAAGAATTAATATTTGAGTGAATTTCACGGCAATTCAAACATGTTATAATTATACATTATTATCGTGCATAATATCATATATAATTATTATCTTTTACTTATTTTTTTATATACACATCTTAAAAATATATCTCAATTATAAAGCAACACAAACTGGTGCAACAAAGAAAAAATCTCTTTAGATAACAATGCACATGCACAAAGTAATATGAATAGATATTGCTGGAACGCTTAAACTCGGTGGCCTAGTGCTATCAATTTAATAGGCATACTTCTGTATCAATGTAGCAGTGTGAATGGTCTCTTTCCATTGCACGTATATTTCTATCCACGTCACAATGCATTTTCATACTCAAGCACAAGCTAATATTTGTATTTATATATAATTTCCACCATTTCAGCCTTAAATGCAAATATTTTCTCCATGCCATCTGTTCGCAGCAATTTAATGCCATTATTAAGGCTATATTCTATGTAGACCTAACGTC